TATCCCTTAATGCGAACAGCGCGACGCCGCCGCCCAAACCGCTCTGGCATTCATTTGGAGCGAAAGCAAGCTACTTCCGTAAGTGAGCAAGCGTTTGACACTAAGAAACCTACGTCAACAAAACGTCAAACGAAGCTTTCGCCACTGGGCGACTATTTGCTGCCCCGAAATCGTAAACAAGTTTTTGCACTTGTGTATCGATGACCACATACGAACACAATTCATTCAAAATTCGGATATGTAACTTCCCCTCACGTCCCCGCGTTACCCACGCAAAAAATGCGCTTGCACAACACCACTCTTCCCCGCTCCCCTAGCAAAGCGGGTTGCCGAGCAGGGGACACGGAAAAATCAATAGCCGGCTTGCTCTACGAATCCTACTGGAATAATTGACGCGAGACCTCAAGAGGCGGCGAACGCTGGCTGGCGCGCTGGAAGGAGAGTGAAGGAGCGAGCGCCCATGAAAGGCGCAAAAAATAGAGCTGGCGGCGCGCCAACGCCAACGCCAACGCAGCGCCGTTCCGCTCCGCGCGCCCAGCGCCCGCGCCAGCACCAGCGACTCCATACGCCACCTGGGCAGCGGCCGCCTCTACTCTCCCATGCACACGCTTCGCTCCTCGCGCGTTGAACACAAGCAACTGACAAACGACCATCTTCACTTCTCCCCGAACTAACTTCCATTAGTGTATTCATACTCCTAATTCTTATAACAATTCATAATTATCGTAAATGAATCAATTGCGTTTATTGTAAATTGTTTATTGAAAATAACAGTATCATGTTTTCTGAACGTTCAAGAAACGTTGTCCACATCATACGAGCGGCCTGTCCCTTCTACTGCTACTACTTCGAAGGAACGTGCGACGTATACTTCCGCCTGCACTGAAAGAGAGCAAGCAACGGATCGGAAAGAGACTTCCCTCCTGGGGCCAGCCCCAAGACCCGTTGGGCAGGAAGCTGAAGGGGCGCATTTACATACGGCGCCACCCACCCCCTTCGCCCCAAGGAACACAACGGAGGGGGCTGAACCGGCTGGATGCAACCCCACAGGTGTTTTGGACGCGTGGTGTCAACTACATCCGAATCGAAACTGCCCTCTTTATACACTTATTCATGGCCTCGTAAATTACCAAGATGATTTTTATGGCAAAACCCAAAAACTGGTAACCCAATACATGAGCGAATACCAAACAAGACATCTCCGAAGTTCACAATCGTGTTAGGGGAAAATATCAGAGAAGAAAACAGAACGATTATAATTATCAAAACCAGGAAGAGAATTTATTATATGGTTCACAAATCTAGAAACAATATCGCCAGACTTAAGACTACCTTTTTACGGCTCAAGGTTACTTCGTAAAGAACGTCAAATGTTGGCTCTGAAGCAATAGTTGCGAGCGCTGAAGCAGCGGCCCCCCCAACACCTGGCTGATTCACAACCACCGCCCACGACACACGCCCGGATTTCCGAAAGGAGTTCGCTTCCCCTTACAATAAGCAAAAACCAACTACACAAAATTCTCTACAGTACGAAACAGTACATACGTCGCCTAACAAGCCAATTGCTAGGCGAAACGCGTCCATCCCACTAGCAGAGTGCAATTGCCAAACTCGTGCGACTGCGAGAGCTGCAGCCAATTAAGCCTCCGCCAACGAGGCGCGTGCGTTTCGCTCGCGCGCGATAACGAGCGATAAAAAGGCGGGAAGCGCCGTGACGTAAGGCCGCTCGCTTTTCCCTCGGCGGGGGCCGGGGAGGTGCTAAACGGGGGTCGCGGGCGGTGCGAATGTGTGTCTCCTCCGGGCCGGGTGGCGCGCCCAGGGGTCAATATGGGGCGAGTGGGCGGGCACCGCTTCGCCGCTCGAGGTGCCCTTCCCTCCCCGGCACAATGCCCAGCGTCCGGCCGGCTCCACTCGGCTGGCTCGCTAGCCCGCCCGCTGGCTGGCTGGCTCTTCGGGTCGACGCGATCGATTTCCCCCCAACGAGAGCTAAGCGAAAACGCTCCGCCACGCCGCCCCCTTACACACGACACGGCCCGGCCCGGGCGTCACACCGCACGCCCGGACAATGCCTGGAGCGTTTCGGAAAACGTGACCTTGTACGTACAATTAGGCGCAACAGAAAAACACGCAGGGCTGCCAACGGCCGGGGCGCGGCGCAACAATGCGCGGCCGCTCTCGCCGCGCGAGCAAGGCCAGGCGCGATGACTGGTGAATGACACTTGGCAACAAAGTGCAGCCACGCCGCGCTGGCTCTCCCCCTTCCCCTCCCCCGCACGGACCCGTCCGCCCGCGCCCGCGCTCTAACCCCGTTGGTTCCCGTCCCTTCCCTTCCCGCCCCGCCTCTCCGCTGGCGGTCCAAGGCGAGCCGCCCCGGCCGCGCGCCGCGCCGAGGGACGCTTCGCTTTCCCTTCATTATTCACGCGCTTCTCGTTACAGCCACTTGGCAACAACGCCGCCACACATGGACCGCCTTCGCAACGGAAACCCGACTCGGCACTCGGCGCTCGCGCTCCGCCGCAACCGACGTCGCTTCATTACAAGCAACAACGCACTCACAGCTACAACAACCTTTCACTTCACGACCCTCCACAAATGAATTCAAAATTTCGATTTCAAACGTAGCCGCTATAGGATTCGTTCCTGCTACTCGCATGATCCTCCGCATTCCGACAAAACGTAACTTCCAAAGCACTAGCCTACAAGCAATTACGTTTTTTACGCCATACTCCTAGGAATTGACGCCCACAACAAAACTGCGTTCACACATTATTCGTGAGTAAATCGGCAGTTAAGAACAGAGCTTACAATTGCAGCTGCGCCGCCTCACACCACGATCCACAAAATTCTAGGAATTCGCAATTGTTCTCGAGCAAGTGCAATTAGAGTAATCATTAAAGCAATCGCGAAACGAATTCCGGTGACTCGCTGCAAGAACTACACAACCGCAGTAGCGCGACCTCTACGATTGGAAAGCCGGTTCCTCCAATTGTGGCGAATTGACGGATCTGCGCCGCGCCGCGCCGCGCCGCGCCGCCACGCGCCAAGCACGCGCGCCGCCAGAGGTGGGTCAATGCGGACGCGTGTTTGGAGTGCGACGCCACGCGGCGTTCGCGCCCCCCGACCAACCGACGCTCCTCTCACACGCACAACCCGTTGCTAGGGCGCACTCGCGGCGGAAGAGAGGAGAGGCGTCCCAAACTGCAACGCTCTTTACGGGACACATTCGCGATTCTCGGTTGAAGACAGGACACATTGATACCGACTAAAAAAATCGCATCAAGAGCTGTAAGAGAATAGTGTAACGGGCAATGGTGTTGCTGTTTTGCTCGAGCAGCGCGGGAGGTGCGCGAGCGATCCGCGTCGGGGGCGGGAGTGTTGTGATGCGTCGCGTCCTCTCCCGCCCTCCGCCCGCGCCGGTCGCGCGGCCTGACTCACTCAAGGTCACGGCGCAGGGAATCGTTGCGCCGCGCCGCGCGCTCCGCCTGTGGGAGTGAGGGCGGGCGCAGGGGGGGCGGGGCGGAGAGCGCGGGCGGGCGTGCCGCCACAGCCGCACCTGGCACGGGGACGCCCGCCCGCTCCCATGATTCCACGTCGATTCCGGAACACTATCGGGCGGGCTGCAAGATCAATATGCAATGGGCGCACCGCCCACGCTTGCATCACTCGATACACGTCTTCGCGGAGGCGGCTTTGCCCGAGCAGCAGCACCACCGCCGCCGCCGGTGGGGAAACCCTAGGCCGCGCGTCGCGACGCGACACAGCGCAGCAGCGGCAGAAATAGCGGCTTAATCCCGCCCGTACGATCGAAGCCTTACAACACACACACACGGCCGGCCGACCGGCCACCGCCGCCTGACGGCCGAGCGGCTATGACGTAATCTCCCACACGGCAACAAAATCTGGAGGGCCGGGCCTGGCCAGGCCGGGTGCTGGCAGGTCGCCCGCCCGGCGCCGGAGGAAAAACAGCTGCGCATCTTCGCGCCGCGTCGCCGACTCGCACCGCGCGATGCCCACGTCGCGCCGGAGTTGCGTGTGACTCGCACTCCGCTGAGCACCAACGGCCTTTTATCTATTCGCAGTCGGCGCCGCAAGATAGAGCCGAGCAACCGAAACAAGTCGAAGTGTTTGCAGAGGACGAACCTCCGGGACCCCTCTCTGTTTAACAACATTCGCTCAAAACAATACGAGCACCCGCTGACCTTCAAGAAGGTCAGCAAACATTTGCTGTACTTGTCCTGCTTTGCTTCCCCCACCTCAGCCCACCGACTCTACGGATGCAGGTGAATCTCAAAACACGCGTAGAAAGGCCCGCTTCTTAACTGCGCACATCGTGTACTTGGGTTCGAACAAACACCTGAGCATTTCCAATTGGCCTCCGAAATTTCCTATTTGGCTATCTTCGTCCCAATAGGCACGACACGCTCGCGCCGGAGGACTTCATACCTTCTCTGCGTCATTAGAGCGCGTGATCTGTTGCCAAACGTCACCTGAGAAGGAAGTCAGAGCACAGAAATGGTGTCACACTCCCGAGTAGGTTCCAGGTTCCTCTCGCGCCGAAGTTCCGTGAGACGTAGAAAGGCCATCTTCTGCGACGCGTCGCCATGCCACTACATGAAACACATCCATTGTTGACAAACAGTGCCAGCAACCACTCACGGCGCCGCTCAGTTTCGCACGGATCTTCGCTGTACGGGGGAGTTGATCACTTCTCGCAAAACGGTCTTCCGAGTTCACACGCGAACGTCAGGCGTACACATACACACTCAAGCATGTAAGTCGATTGTTATTTACCGAAAAAATCTTCATAAGATGGCACAACTAACTTGAAGTTTCTGGACATTTTGAAGCGAAGACCTGACAGAACCACTGAATTGAGACTCAGGTCCAATACTTGCACATTCCAGTTCACTCGTGTCGGAGGAACGTATCACAACATAAATTTACGCACTCCACAACATTAAAATTAAATTTGTTTCGCTCTGAAATTATCCCCACTACAACTTCCAATGAAAATATTTCTTCAATTTATTCTTCATAAACACCATCCACATCCATATAAACAACGCTGTTCACACATCGCATGCACATAATTTTCACAAGTACACAAAGCAGAGGAAATTTATCGCAACACCCATCACAATTGACGGAAAGTCGAACATTGAAGATGAATGTATATCAACTCACCTATTTTTCTCCAGTTCGTTATGCGTTGTCCTGCAAAAAAGCACACTACTTTAGTCGTTTGGCCATTCAGTTTCAAATATTCTAGCATTATTATAATCATAGAAAAATATTGGTAAAAGATAATGAAAGTACAACTGTTTTCAAAGCAAATATAGGTAAAAAGTCAACCAATCACGAGAGAACAAAGGGCTCCTCACCTGCTTCCCTGAGATTTTTTTGTCTTTGGCCTTTTGGTGATAACACTCCTGAGATCATCTGGGAGAGGCAGTGAAACAGCATATCCATGCTCCGCTTCTGTAAGAAAACAAGCAGAACAGCGTCAAAATCAGCTGATTTAGTATCAAAACTGACATGGGAGCCATGTTGACGTGGATTCTCCACTCGCACTCGAGTAAAAAACCATCTCTAACTTACCTCTTTCTCGCCTTTCCAAGTATTCTGCAGCTTGAAGTAGCGCCGCAATGCTCATATTTATTATTTTAAAGTAAAATACTAAAAGAAGAGAAATATAATACAAATATGAAGGTCTAACAATCAGCACAGGTCCGCGCCCCTAGAACTCACTCCTGCATTTATTGATGTCAACGCGTCGAGGTCCTCGAGAACAAGGGAGAACAAACCTACGTCGCTATTGGCTGCCAGACTGTAAACGTCATACGAGCTTCCAATCAGATGGCGCGTTTCTCACACACGCTTTACCTGGCTAGTCACGTGAATCTCATGCCTCGAAACAAAACAAACAGCTGGGGAAGAGATGCGAGCGGACATGAATCCATGTACGAATTGAAACGGTTGCAATACGATTTAACTTGAAGTCATTTAATAAGAACGCCACGGTATTAACACACCTGTTGTTCAGGTTGAAAGGCTCCACCCATGTTAACAAACCGTAAACTGCTGAAACACAGCTCGCGTCACACTTATTCGCAGATCAAAACGAGACGCAAAACACCTAGAAGTTCTTAAGTTAGGTTACAAAGCACGATGAAGTATTAGCATAAGAGAAATAAATCATACACCGACCGAAGAGTGCTTGGAAACAATCAAGGATTCACCATCAGCCCTAGTTCATTCGTACCCGCATCTTAAAAAGCAAATGTTCAACGAGTTCAACATGGATGCTCCCGATAAACACACGATCATAATTATTATCCCCAATCCCTGTAAACAAAAATGTCAATTGCCAAAGCTTTATTTTGTACAACTTTTTTCGTTTCTTTTCAGTTATTATGGGGCATTCTTAAAACAATTTTTTGAAATACCAGTACTGAAAATTTTGGGTGGCTTAAAATTTTAAAAATTGCCAAGTTCATTTAAAATATTTGAACAAAATTGATATTAACAAAAAATCAGAAAAAGTATTTTAAAATTCAAAATACTTAATATTTATTCCACAAATCTTTGCAATACAAAATCAATCAATTAACAAAGAATAAATATCTATATCTGATACAGATGACTTATATGGAACATTTTTGATAACCAGTTTTGAATGCATCTCACACATCTCCTTCCTATTTACATTACTTTCTCCAAACCCCATAATATTTAATAAGACTATTCACATACAAACCCAACACTACAAACTTTTATTCAAACTTTTCCCAGACAATTTAACAGCAAAAGATTTAAATAACCGTCTTATGATACCCAGTCACAATTCTGCCAAGTTTTGTTAATAAACTTAATTCTAACCTTATCAAAATAAACCAAAATAAATCAGGTGATTCCTTATAACAAGAACTCGTCAGGTCCAGATTCCAAAAAACAACAAAAATGGCTACTCAAATTTGAAGGAAAAACTTTTCTCCTAGAGGAAAATAATTTTCCTTGTCTTGTTTACACAAGTCGAAAAACAAAATATATTCAGTCTAAAAATTAATCAGGACAGATGTACGCAAGGCTACCTTTGCAAGATGCGTAGATGTATATTACCATGTAAATTCCTTTTCTGCCAAAATCTGTTTAGAAGAAAAGAAATTACCATTCAGAAAGTACAGATTTTCATTTCTATTCAATAAAAAATGGCAAGTTATTGGAAGTGAAAGGCTGCATCAGTGCGAATTACCCTAGTACCAATAATAACTCCATTTTCACTTCCCCTTAGAGTAAATAAAATTTCATCACAAAAATGCACTCGCTTCTAAATCTTAACTTTAATATAAAAAAATCTCTAACTCATTTATTTTTCCTCTTTCATACACTTTTAAGCAAACCTTTCACCCAAATTGTTTGACATATATCTGACATTTCATCATATACTAAACTCAATGTAAATTAAATAACAACAATAAAACTAAATGTTTAAAAAATTAAACATTCAAAATTACAATTTTCTTCAATTATTGTTATGGAAAAAAATTAGTATATAATTAATGTCTGAAAATTGAAGTTTTTCACATAACTTTAACAAAAGAGGCTAATAAATAAATGGGAAATAAATTTAATGGACAGTTAACTGAAGGACCCCCAAAAAATTCACTCTCGAATCACAGGACTCTCTTATAACTTACACAAGAATCACTGTTCACCTTGATAAAAGATTTAAAAAATACTTAAAACCAATTAAGTGCACCAAATGAAGAATTGACAATGATGCTTCTGAACTCCATCATGAAATTAAAATTATTCTAAACATAATTTTAAAGATCCTACTAAATACCAATCCCAATTATTACACAAATACAATGCCCTTTTTGAAGGGAGTTTGATTAAAGACCTTCACATAAATGTCTCCAAAATTGTTCACATAAACAGAATTTCCCAAATAATACACTCAGTTTGAATACTTTCGTAAGCCTAAAATTCCTCAATACAAGTTAGCTATTTTTTAATACAAAGAATTAAATTTCTGTATATTACCACTTGGTGGAAATATTTAGGTAATTAAAGATTCTTGGCAATTCTCGGAATTCTGATATTGAAAAGATTTGTAATTTTGAAATATGTTGCTTTCCACTCTGAGATATTTGGAAAATACTTTTATTATTAGTTTGAATCAAAGTAAACTTTGCACATTGATATACATATGTGAACTACCCTTAACCCACAATTCCATTGCAAATGTATAAATCACACAAATTAAACACACCTTTCCGACAATGCACTGTAAGTGCACAAGAAAAGAAACAAAATAAAAATTGTCATTTTGCACAACAGTTTTGTTCCAAACACAGCCATTTAATTTGTGGCCTTCTGTTATTATCTAAACAAATTTCTTTACTTAACTAAAAAATGATGATTTTTTAGATGTATCGATTTGTGTGAACACTAACAACAAGTACATACAAAAAGAGTATTATTAGTGGACAGAAGAATACAATAGTTCAATTTGGGAGAATTCTTCAATAATTTATTAATGGTAATTATTCTCTAATAAAAATCTACAAAAACCGGCACGTAATTTTGAATGTCATGAAATTAATACCCATTACGTGGGTAATTTCAATTTTAACTGAAGAACAGTTTTTGTTATCTGGAAAGTGAAACACACAATTAGAACGAATTTCATATTTTCTGTAGTCATAATTATTATGTTCAGAATTTACTACAAGAAATGACAAACCTGAAGAAGAATTGATGAGACTGATGATAATGTAATTTACGAAATTTGGGCACTTCAGCTGCTGCATAAGTACATATTGGATTCCACTTTTTAATCATGAAGATGACCAATAAACATCATATTTTTGATGTTCTGAAACAAAAGGAGAAGATTGTTCACAACTAATGCCTAATTTCTTTCAACTTTCACAAATTAAAAACCAATATAAAACAGCAACACTAATTTGTAATAAAATAATCAGAATGTATAAAATGTACTCAAAACACTGATTTCACATTTCAGTTTTAAGCATACAAGCATGATGAATTAGTCATTGTTAAGACAGCTGTTACGTCATTTAATGGAACCAGGACAATATTATACTGTTTACCAATTTTTCAAATCTTTAGTTTTGTCACACTAATTTAATTTCACAACAGAGGTTAAATACAATAGAGTATTAATTAGAGTGAAATCTGGGGATCCCACATTTTGAACGTACAATTACTGTATCAAAATATTGAGCTCAAAATCAGGCTTGCTATGAAAATTGCAGGATGGAAAGGTCAAAGAGATTGTTGTGACTATTCTAATAATGCCTATGTATTAATGAAGAAACTATCAATAAGCAATTGTCATCTCAGTTCAAAATGTGTTGAAGGCTTTTTAGCCTAATCTTAAGACTAATATTGTGATGCCACTGCTTCACTTTACAGAAACCATTCAAGTACAATAAACTCACAGTTAGAAAATACTCTTCTTTCTTTTTTTTTATATATATATATATATATATATATATATATATATATATATATATATATATATATATATTATATATTTATGAATGATTCTGAAAGCATAAATATTAAACAAGAGAGTTCATAACCTAAATGTAGAAACTTCATGAGAAAACAAAACTAACAAAAATTAAATAATTGAAGACTAGTCCATGCAGCAATATTGACTGACGTCACAGTTAAAAGATGGTTTAAAATAACAACTTAGATTACTAAAATTACAGCGCTTACAGAGTAATAGAAGTGCGAAGAGTCAAGGTTCAAATCCGATACTGGACACAGATTTGCTGTGTCTTTCATTGTAGGCCTTTCATGCTGAAACTAGACCCAAAGAGTCTGTGTTAGTGTCTAGTTAATGACACATGGTCCAGCTAAGAGTGAAGGAAAACAGGCTTCAAACTGAAGAAACTAGCAATTGAACAGATAAGGAGCCTGCTCTAGAGTTCCTTGCAGCAGGTCTTGTCAGTTGTCACTATATATTTTAAGGAATATTTAATTTTCATATAAATTTTCTTCTTATATACAAAGAAAATATTCATTTCCGAAAGGAAATAAAATGTAATATTATCACTTAAATATTGGTATTATAACTGCAAGAAATCTACTGAAACTATTTTCTCAATAAATGTGTAAATTAAACTTCAGTAAATTTTGAAGTTTGAAATTTGAATGGTGTGTGGTTTTGTGAGCTGAATTTTGAGTGTAATTAAAATAACTTTTCAACAACAGGACAGTTACACAATCAATTTTTAAACAACAATGCCCAAAGAAGAGAAGAAATTATGTTTGGCAAAAACCCAATGTTTATAATAATAATAATAAAAAAATAATAAAGTAAAGGTATCCAAAAAGTATTTCATTAAAAGGTACTAGCTGGATCCTTGCCAACATTCATATATTCACAACACGATCCGGCATGCACACCACCCTCCCCCCCGTGCACTTCTGCACACTCCCAACCACTAAAAAATGTAAATAAGAATTGTCCAAAAATGACTAGTTTTGTAGATTCCAGTATACACAACACAACTTGTGTCTGGGACACAGAAACAAATTTTAAGGTTTTAGAACACATCAGTGCCAAGTTATGCACAATGGCAAAATGTGTTGCAGTGTAATGTGTTTTGCAGGTTACACAAGCACCCTAGAATCCAAATATTCCATTGTTTGTGAATTTCAATTTTGTTTGACTTAATTGATAATGATGGTAAATAATTCCCTCTTTGATAATGATGGTAAATAATTCCCTATCCAGCACTTGTATAGTTTGGCACCCACGGTTTCTTATAAAAGGGAATAATCTGCCACCTTCCCTTAGAGGGGATTATACTCCATTTCCTGAAAGTCTTCTAAACAGATGACCAGCAATAAAACATTTAGCTATCTTAAAACAAACTTAAAACAAATTCACACATCAATTGTTTCCTGTATTCTAAATTCACTGACAAAGGATTTCTTGCAGGAAGAAAATAGTTACATTATGGAACTTCAAGTTGGAAGTTCAAAAGGAGAAAGACATCTTACTTCATTAATTGCAATTCAATTCAAAGAATGATTTTTAAAAATACAAGTGACACACAGGTTCATTCCAAGAATCTCCATCGAAATTCTGTTTACAAGGGGTTCCACAAAACAGGATAATGAACATATCCAAGTATCTAAACTGAACAAATGACTCGCCCAGAGACAAATAACTCACTATATTTGAAGAGAGACTGAGATTGAGAGAGAATCTTCTTTTCAGAGGTAATGATTAACACTGATGCACTTTCATGTTCTTAGAAATCTTCTCATCTAAAGCCTTTGCACATGTAATTCAATTTTTTAATTTAATAGAAATGCTTTCATTCATTCATTCATTCAATTCAACAGTGATTTTGATGTATAATTTTAAATACTGAGTTTGCTAAGTGAGCTAGTGAATTGCGTATCTGGCAAAAACAAATTATGTACTATGATTTTTATATATTTATGATGAGCTCCAGCCTTGTAATTCTGAACTTTCAGTTTCATCAATATGCCTGTCAGATCACAAATTTAGTGTGCTGCAATTTTGCTGAACTTCAGTGTACATTTCATAAGATTCTTGCACATATGTATTTTGTTATCTGGTTAAGACATTTAGTGTTTCTTTGTCCAATCTTTCAACAATGTAAGTTTACACTAGTGTTCCCAGAACTAATCCTAGGTCAAAGAAGTAAAGCATATTGAAATACTGGTGTATGTCTTCCAACAGATTGGCCACAGTTGCTTGACCTTACACATCATACATCAAATGTATGCAGTATCTCAAATTAGTTGTAAAATCTTCAGTACATCAGAATAAGAAATGCTCAGCAAAACTAAGATGGAACTTCCCCAAAACTCTTTCATTTGTGATCATCTTCAGATTCCGGAAGATAGACAAGTAATTTCACCTGAACTTTAGAATAGTATCTCTATTAAACCATTCATTGTGACTTATGCACCTGATTTATTAAGGGTATTTATACATTTGATTGTATCATTTTATTTAGATCTCTTCTTGCTTGATCTGCTGTTAACAACATCCACAATATAAGATTTCGAAGTATTTCAACTGCAAACGTGAGATACACTCGCATATACTCTTGACTACCCTGCACACCAGGATATCAATCCTGTTATCAAATTGTTACTGACTAATGCAATGATTGCATTTCTAATTGTTCCACAAACTTGGCTTACCTCTCAATTCTATCATTTGCATTCCCAAAGTACAATTCAAGGTAATCAATCAATCGTCCTTAGAAGAATTCCAGTAATGTGTAGACTCTGGGAGTTCGACATAACATCTCTTTGTTATTGTTATAATTTTATGATTTTTAATTGTAGAAATCTTCATAATTGTACTTCTGGAGTTGTTTTAGAAGATTTCATCTTCTTTTCTTTCTTATTTATTTTTCTTTAATTTTTATTAGCCTACTTTTCATATTTTGTTTTTTTTTATCATTTTGGTCTTTTTCTCCTGGAACAATCTTGAGCAAAGTGGAAACATACCTGCAAGCTTAAACAACATGAAGGTGTTTTGTCTTCCTGTGAAAGTAGAGACTCCAGGTAGTACTAAATATCTAAATGAATCAAGATTTTGATTTTTTCATTGATGTTGACATTTTGTTCATTGACGAGGAATCCCATCCTACTTCTGGGAAGATCTTTAATCCCTCTTGAGGGCAGAATTCTTTGCATTTGATATAGTCGGTGCTTGCAATCGTCTCAATATAATTCCACTTCCAGTGAGACCATTTCAAGATTGAAAAGGGACTCCGCAATAGCACTTAGAAGAGATTGCATTGCAAGTAAAACAAATTCATGGTAATCATACCAGGTGGTCATGATGAATCAAGATTCCTGAGAAAACATCAATCCCTTACACATAAGTGCTGATGTACATTGTAGAGTTAGAATAAAAATGTGAATCATTTAATTATTAACTTTTTACATAATTCCTTTAAATGTGATATTTCATTGTTTACATGTCTTTTGCATCCCAACTTTGACCAGAATAAATTCCTTTTGCCTGCCTATTTTAGGTAAAACAAATGCCTGAACTTCGGTGATATATACGTATGCATGTATATTCAGAATGATTAATTCCTGTAATATGACATTCACTATACGTGTGGCTAGACCACATTACATAATGTTTATTTGATTATTGATGTAGTTGCAAACATTAATTGGAGCTTGTGCTTTATTAAGGATTTTCCCACTATTAGATACTGCAGAAAAGGTATTATGATGATGATCAACATCATCATCGCCATCATCATCATCATCATCATCTCTGTGGACACGTTTCTAACATGATAAAATCAAAGACAGCCTCACCTCTTGTATGCTCTTCTGTATTCCCCAGCAAAAGAGAGTGTAATTGCATTGCAGCAGGGGATCACGAAGGCAGAGCCTCTACTGCTAGCTCCAGATTCTTCACTACACATTTAGGGGGAATGGCCGACTGATCCACGAACAACTTCTTCCCCATGATTTCCACTTTACTGCTTTAGGGCCCTAGAACACAGGCATATTAGTACTATGGTTTTTCCACTTCCCTTTTGACAGTAATGCACAACAACTAAAGTCTCACTTGTTTTATTACTTCAGCTACTTACCTTTTATCCTTTTATTATTCCATTTCCTTTAGAGCAGCAATTAACTCAAGAATAATGAATTAGGAATAAATTCTAATTCCACTTTCATATAGAGAATACTACCACAATGTAGATTTTCAATCTCAACACCACATGTGTTATCAATCAACAGAAGTTGGAAGAATATTAGCTCAGCTAAAATACTGTGAGTGAGGCAGGGTCATCAGAGATGATTAATGACCTTTTTACCCACATCTCACTAATAATATACTATTATTCCTAAATCTTCAAACCTAGATTTTAGAACTTGATTCTTGGTAATCCATTTCAGATTCAGGGATTCAAATAATTACCCTGGGTCTCTTGGTAGAAAACCACCTCAGAGATATTATATCTTCCTAAAGGTCTTCTAGTTCCCTAACAGTTTAAGTCAGTCACTGCATTACTGGCTCTGAGTTACCTATGTGAACTATGAATGGAGAAATTGTTATTGTGTTTTACTTCAAGGGGTAGAATCTAAAGCACAGTTGTAGTAACTTCATTAGATTAGCTTGCTTTGGTAGCAGTTTAAGTTTTAGAATAGTCACTCCATTCTGCTGTTCTTGAGCTCCTACATGTTTTTCGATTATTACAAACTGAAATGCCTAGTTCAGTTTTATCATCATTTAATGTCACATCAAATTTATTCAGACACATTACAGTTGTCTTCGGCTTTCTCTCAGCTTCAGACCCAACCATATCAGCCCTTAAGGAGTGAGGGCTTTTACTGCTGCACCCAAAACCTTCAGGCCATGAAGGTATTACAGCTTTTCTTGCCATTTCAGAGCAGGTTTGGGCATCCCTGAAGAATGGAGATAATTTCCTGCAATGTTTTGCAACATGCTTAACTGTTTTGAGAGAGAATGCAAAAAACCACCTTATATCTGTTATTACATCTGTAATTAATTTAATATGTTCTTAATTTACCAAATATAGGACTAGCTTTTAACTTTCTCGGCTACTATGCAGTATATATAAGAAAGTATTGTAATGCTGTGGCAGAAATCTGTGATTTTTCACTGAAAATTATCACTTGAGTAGTTTCAGTGATCATAGGTAAAATGTGTTAAAAAATTTAATTTTTCAAAAATTAGGATCTATGTTCATCCTTCTACGAAATCAGTCAGCTTGTGATGGTAACAAGTACACAAAACCTGTTTACTGTGTACAAAGCCATAGAAAATAATATTTTGCAGTGCAATCGCCATTAAAGGATAAACTATTCTCCACCATTTAGTGAAAAGTAGAGCTTTCAAGATAAATTTGTTCAAAAGATATAACATATATGAGACTTAACCGAAGGGTCTGCCATTTTGGCATGTGAGGGAAATAACAAACAATATTTTAAAACAATGCATTTCACAATGACGTATGTATTATTTTATTCAGAAAACTAAATATTCCACAAATGTTAAATCCCACAAATGGCAAACCATTAAATCCAACAATTTGGATTTTTGCTTTATGTCGCCCCTTAAGCTGCGAAAGAAGTTGAAATTACAAGAATTGTTCATTTTGAATTGTAGCAAAGATAAGTCAGAATGTTGTTTCCTTTCCATTTCATTAATTTTTGGCAACACAATTTAAATTTTGTTAAAATAAAGTTTGTATTTGAAAATGAGGATTTTGATGTTAAGTTCTGAATGTATGGCAATGTATGTTTTTTTTCATTTCAGCACTCTTCACTCATTATTCACAAATAGTAAAGTTTTTATCACGGTTGAAAAGGAATTTATATTACTTGCTTTTTATACTTACACATTAACACAATAAAAGAATTTGGGCAGTAGTGGGCTCAGTGACTACATACTTGCTTTTCAGTGATTTGAATATAACTGATAAGTGTCTGATGAAAAAATTAAGAAGAGTCATCATCATCAGCATGAAAGGCCAGGGGGGTCTGTTCCTGGTTAAGCAGTAGACCTGAAATACTTCAGACTTCCAGGTGTTCCTGCATGGTCCATTTCTTTCTTGGTCTTCCTATATCTCTCAGTCCAAGCGGCTTATATTTTATTGCAGCTTTTGGGAATCTTCTTCCATTTATTCTTTTAATATGTTTCAGACTTTTTTCTGCTTCTTTTTAACTTCTTCTGTTATGTTTGTCATCTTCAATCTTTTCCCTATGTCTTTATTTTTCTGTCCATCCAGTCTAGTATAGCCAAGGTGTCTCAGGAACCTCATTTGAGCTGCTTCCAGTCCTTGATTTTCAGTTTTAGAATCCTGGTTTCTGATCCATATAATAGCATTAGTTTGGCATGTGTATTCTTAATTTGGTTTCATGTGTCATGTCCTTCCCAAAGTGTCTTATTTCTTCCATTTATTATATTTCAAAATTTTGTGTTTAAGGCCCTGGAAGTTTAGTACAATGTCATTGCCTAAATATTTGAATGTTAACACTTGCACCATTATTTCTCCATCAATGACACAATCTTCACTCTTCTTTGTTCCTTTCCTTATTTATTTATTTGTTAAGTAGTATACCTACTGACTACTTCCATTCTTTATGAGATTGTTGGCATAAATATTGTAAAGGTTGGGCGATGGACCACATACCTGTCTCAGTCCTCTGTGTGAAGTGATTTTGCGATGGTACCATTATTTATTTTTATGGAGAATATAAAGAACAGTGTGTTTCCAAACATCCACATGCTTTTTTAGATCAAAATTAGTTAGTGCATATGTTTACTAGTATTACTTTATTAGTTACTACACATTTCATATCTCTATTTTTTTTTTATTGTTAGTTGTTTAGTCAAAGTGATTATATGTTCCATAATTATCCCTATTTAGTCCACAATAACAATGAAAGGGACCTTGGAACTCAAACTATTAACTTTCATTAGTGTACCACATTAAGATGATTTTCGATTGAGACTGATTGAGAACTTCTTTAAAATTATGGGAGGTAGCCTCACAATTGGGGGAGGCAGTCAACTTAAATTCAGAGTCGGTAATATGGTAATATATCTTTAGGACACAGGAAATGGACAAGGATGACCTAAGAAATTATTTTCCAACCATTTCCATCTGCACAAAGAAGATAAGTAAACAAAAACGTTTATGACGAATCAACTCAATTTACTCACATTCCAACGATGTGCAGTTCCATGTGAAATTTCACATGTATCGTACTGGTTCAATACCAAGTAAACGCAATGCATTGTGAATAACACATTCCACAGCCTTAATTAAATACAAACGAGCAAACATCACTGGTAACAGATGATCCCGAGATTCCTGGAAAAAAATCAAACAAATTGTATAAATAAAAAAGTAAATTTAAAAGGAAGCACCAATGTAACCTCCTTCTTTTGACTAGAATATTTGGTCATCTTGACATAAATGTACATTTTTGAACACAAGATTTTAGTTTTCTCTTTGTTTGAAAGTACTTGCTTACAAAAACTAATTATTTCAAAAGTATTTCAACAATGAAATTTTCGTTATTTACACCAAACAATTCTACACAAGAACAGAGTTGGAATCATGATGGGAGGGACAAATTCCCCCACCTCAAAACAGGAAACGTTTCAATATTCATTCCTCAATCATTTTTCATTACACAAATTGTAAATTAAGCTATTTCCATCGTTGTGAAATATATTTATTATACAAAATATTTGTCAATAACCTCAAATATAATTTACAAGGGGAAAACAAACATTCTTTCAAATGTGACGACCCCTCGGTCCGTTTCCGCGTCTGGTAGGGACTTTGACCTGCCTGGACAACTCTTCCCCAACAAAAGAGCAGGTGAGAACGGATAATAGTCCGCCAAGTCAACCACCCTACAGGGAAAGTTGCGCCTATAATCCCCTTTTTGTTGGGAATTCTCAAGATGGCAACGCCCGGGGCGACGAGCGGAAGCCTAGACCCGCCCCCAAGCTCAGTAATACCTGTTCATAATTGCTGTCGATAATAAAATCACCGTAATTAAGTAAATAATGCCCAATGAAACACGTTTCCTACTGTATGTGTCTATGCTTTCGTTTAAGACGAACCCTCGTGCTACCCGGTGAGCGGCTGGCCCTCATCGTTCATTGTCCCCAGAAGCCGTCGCTGCGTCGGGGGAGGGATGGGGGCGGAGGCGACTTGCGCCATCTCTCAGGTACTCCGCCGCGTCGAAAGGGAGAAGGACGTTCACGACAGACACGCAAAGAAAGGAGGGACCGCAATATTATTATTTGCCCTCGTGAAAGAAAGCACACAGTCGAGTCACCACAAACGCATTATCCGTTTCTGAATGAAAGCGGCCAACCCTGCCTTTAAAAGTCCAAAGGGGACAACGCTCGAGCGACTCGGTTCGTGCCGCTCATTATCGTCTTCAAAATCTGCATCCGCCATTTTACTCCCGATGGAGCAGGTAGCCCCCGCGCGACGGATCCACGACCGACTAGCACCGGTCTCGTGGAATTCGTAGCTCCGACAGCATACGCTATACGTTTTCGGGGTACGTATTATATGATATGATATATGATTATGATACTTCAAACAGTTCAGCCATCACTTGAAAAATCGAACTGCGTAATTCATGATTACATAAATTTACTAATACTTTGAAACAACTGTACGTGAAATGAATTAAAGATCCACTGGTTTGCATTGCTAAAGATATAACTACAATATTTAAGGTTTCGAAACACTATTTGAGCAGAAACATTTATGACGTTTGAAGCTGTTTTTGAGAAAATCGTTTTAATGTATTTTTCTTTAATTGTCACGATTTTACTCAAATGTACGGGAAAGCAATTCATATTATCAAAAATTGAACAATACATTATTTAGACATTTATTTAGGTATCAGGGGGGCACAAATACAATCGTCTACATTACGGATTCGATAAAGTAAATTACTACACATTAGTTTGGGGTCGTGCCTCAGGCGGGTATATTCATAATTAAAAGCTTAAATTGTATGCTTTTTACGTTCATAATAAACAAATTTTCAATATATTACGGTTGCCTGGCTCAGCCATTCCAGGGCATAGAAAGTTGCATGAAAAATTATAGATATAATATTTCTTTTAAATTTGCTTCCTTGTTCATTTCAATTGAAAATTAATTTAGAAAACGTCAATCTAATGAATTGAGTCTGTCCTTACGTATATTTTTTGTCTAATACCTCTAACTGTTCTCTTGGTTGAAATACACAATATCCAAATTTTTCGTTGAATGTCTTCTGTTCTGGTTTGCATATTTGCTGAAATTTTATACATTTTTAAAAAATACCAAATTTCTAGAAATTTTCTCCTCGAAATTTTTGTGTTAATTTTATAACAGTGTTTATTTGAAACTAGGAGCTAAACGTACTTTTTGCCTTATTTTCACGCAAAAGTATGCGAAAAGTACTCAATTTTTTTGCAAAATTGCACACGACCTCATAGTTGTAGAAAAAATTGAACTTATGCAATTTTCGAAAAATCGGGGTTTTCATCGAACACGAGACTTGCATCATTCTCTTAAAACGCCTTTCACACTATCCAAAAAATAATAAACGATGGAAAGTTTTTTTTTTTTTTTAATTTTGAAAATGTCTCAAGCGCTTTAGGTAACGTACCCTCCAAAATTAAAATATCAGTTTAAAATTCAAGGGGCCGCGACATCAACCAGATCGATTACGGAATCTCAATTTTGAAGGAAATCTACTGAACGGTTTAGCTGCTAGCTCTGTTCGCAGACGTTTTGCCGTCATTCGATTTTTCAGTATTAAGGGCACATAACATGGATTCTGGCTACACCCAGTGTTAGAGGATTATTTTCTTCTAAATTTAGCAGACTGGATTTATCGGCATTTTCGTTACCACGGCCCTGAAGTAAGAGATTTTCTGCCGAAAATTCGCCGTTATTCCGTGCAGCATTACATAACTTTCTCTACTCCGTACCGAGAGAGTAAAAAAACGCCATTTTTTTCTTACACTAATTCACAATTGCGCGCGGACGACTCGAGGAGCCCCACGCCACGACGCGGCAGGACGTACACGTTCTGTTAGGCACAACTTCCCTCTGCCCTTTTCATCCATGCCGCGTTAAGTGCGCAACAGTGCTGACCACACTGCCGTTGTTTGTGAAAAGTGTCAGTGAGATCGTGATTTTTTGAACTTGAGACGCAAGTTCCGAGAAATATTAGTTGACGCAGACTGAAATAGAGTTGACAAGCTCGAGAAGAATGTTTCAGTCATCAGCTGGTCACAGGGTTTCCACGTTTATGCCATCGCTCTCATTGATAAACTAATGATAAACTAATGATGCTACAGAATGTCACATCTTCCCGTATTTTTTTGTATTTCCTTTGGTCTCGGCTAGCTACTCGGGCTTGTCACACTTGCCAGCTGCCATACATCGCTTCCGAAAGTACGATTTTTTTTCCATTTTCTTAATTTTTTGGTTTCCTAATAGTAGAACACAAATATTGTTATAAGAACAGTAAAAATTCGTCGTAAATCTTCTTTTAAAACAGTAAAAATCTTCTTTGAAAAATGTTGAACCGTTTTTACAAAACTGGCATTTAAGCGCTATTGTAAATGCGAAATTTTAAGTTATTTTTCACAGAAATTTTTTGAGTTTTCAAAGCACTTCATTTGAAGTCATTTAAGACACACTAACTCACAAATACAATAGTAATTACAAATTTTTGAACATGTGCAAATCAACGTGGTAAGTAATCTTTCAAAAAATTAAATGTATGTCATTTTTGAGAAAACAAAAGAATGCACCAAAAACAACTTTATGTCATATTGTTTGAAGAAAAAAATTGAAAAGTTTGAAGAAAAAAATTTGAGCCATTTTTGAAAAAAATTTGCGTTTCTGAAAATTCGGAATTTTGAGTTAATTTTCACGGAATACTGTTAAATTTTCGACAAACTTTATACGATAATATTTAAAGAATATGTACTCATAAATATGTGAACAAATTGGCACTAATATAAATATTAACAAAGTGAGAAGTCAAAAACATTACATTTTGGTAATTGTTGAAAAAAGAAAGAATAGAGCATTATGGCGTTTATGTCGTCTTATAGAGTGAATTTAGCACTATTCCTAACAAACGTTTAAAGAAAAATTTGGAGGTTTTTTTTGTTTGTTTGTTTGTTTGTTTGTTGTTGGTTTTTTTTGAGAAAATTTTGTTTTGTAATTTTATAAAGTTGCATATAATGCTCGCAATCTTGCGCAAAAACTATTAAAAGTTTCAAAAAATGTACATCACCTTAATTAATGAACTCACCAAATAGAACAAATCTTATTTGATGGACAAATCTATCTTCAATTTTGTAATTGTAGGAAGACGCACAAAAAATTTTGAAATTTTCGAAAATTCAGAGTTAAACCTGAAAATCTGACCTATGCCACTTTTATAAATGTTTTTTTTAACATTCTTTCAAGGAATTTAAAGAAAATATTTGGACCGTTTTCAAGAAAATTTTGAAAATGTCCTGGAGGTTCAACTAAAGTACCCTCAAGTTTTAAAGAATGTTTTTCAAAATCACAAAGCTTTGACTCGAGCCATATGTACAGAGGTTTCTTCAATTAGGAAAAAATCCTACGTGTGGTTTAGGCGGTAGTAGTGTTCACAGACGGACGTTTTAAAAAGAACCACTTTTTCGGTATCAGGGGACCCCAAAACGTGTATTTCTATTGAAATCTCGAAATCGATTTTCAGAAGCATTACACAATTTTCCCTATACTACGTATAATACTACGTATTTACGTAGTATACGTGAAAGTAAAATGTACTCTCCACAGTTCCGGAACTATACAATTTTGGGACCAAGGCAATGACTCCTCTTTCTCCAGTGCGATCTTGGCGCAGGGGACTTGAGCGGGTTCCAGGTTCTGTCCCCACTTAAGGGAAGGCAAGAGAATATGCAGCATTTTCTCAGGTGGATCACTCGATCCTTAATGCGGGCCTGCTTCCCTTGTCTAGTCTCATCAACCCAGACTTACAGAGAATTGCAGTTTACCTCATGAAGGGTCTACTGCCAACATCAGGTGTTTCTCTTAAAAAATGATACATTGATTATTTCCAAAACTTTTTTCAATGGAACCCTCAATAGTTTGCGAACAAAATTAGAAGTGCTAGAACACAACATATGTTCTTTTATTATCAGTAATGGTTTCAAATATAACATTGCAGCTTCCATCCTGAACCAAACCAAAGTGCAAGAGGTTTAAAGAAAAAAAATACTGCTTTTTAGTGAAAATTCTAAAAAAAATTAATGAAAATGTCTTCATGTCACTAAATCTGGCTGTATTTAAAAAAAAAATAAAGAAACAAAAATATTTGTACACTTAGGAATTTCAACTGGAGTGCTAAGGAGCACGAGGTAAGAATTGTTTAATGCAGGGATTCTTAACCCTTATTCTTTCATTGACCCCTTTCGTTTTCCTTGTAATATACTGAATCCATAATCATGAGTTATGACAAAGAGTTATGCATAAATACCTTTAAAATAAGAAGTTCGTACCCCGACATTCAAGCAAATAAACAATTTCACATAATAAATCAAAGACACCTTCACTTTTGAGTAGCTGATTTTCTAATCTACACTGAAATTGTACTTGCAGGAAGACTGAAGAATTGGAACTTTCAGAAAATGTCGAACTTTTGCAGTGTTAGAAATTTCAGGGAGTTCAACAAAAATGCGACCTATGTCATTTCTTTAAATGTATTTTTTTCTAATACAACAAAAAATTAAAGAAAGAGGGAGCACAGAGCGGAAAGAGGGAGAGAAAGAGCAGGAGAAACATGCAGGGCAGTGTTTTGGAGACATTTTCAAGAAATCTGAAAGTGATGAAGTTTAGTGTAAAGAATTTCCCAAATCAAAATACACGTTCCAAAATCACACCGCTGCGACATCAGTCACATTGATCACGAAATATTAATTTGGAGAAAATTGTGCTTAAGAGTCGCTTGGGTTGTTCACAGATGGGCAGACAGACGTTCATAAATGAATAGTTTTTATGACTTTTTTTTTGGTGGTTGGGCATTAGTTTAATTATTTATGCTTAGTCCAATGCAAGAACAGTATTGTAGTTTCGATGTGTTTTAATATAGCTGAAGATGGAATTAAATATTCTGTATCATCAGCAAACTAAAATGTTTTAAGTTTTGAATTTAAGTGTAACCAAATTCCACGATCTAGAACATTCTTCAATTTACTTAAACAGTTGTGAATCTTTCTACAACGGCAAATTAGTTTTAGATAGCTTCCTCAATGTTATGATCATGAAAAGGTCTCGCCATTTCATCTGATTATTTGACCTTTTAAACCTTTGAACCTATATATATTCCTTGAAAAATGGGCTTCAGATACGTTTGTTATCCTTCTTTCCAGTGGAATTATTAATTTCCCACATAGTATTCCGCATGTGATAAAATTTTAACTTTGAGTGTTACATTTACCAGAACCATACAAGTTTAAATTTCCTGACTGACAGATTAAGGGTTAACAATACAACAGTAAAGTAGTTTGCAGGGGTTATCTTTCAAACATTTTTTTCCCCCCTTCATGAATATTGTTCTTGAAATTAAAAGATTTTCTCTTTACGTGGTATCCAATTATACTTTACATTTCCTCATAATTTAGAAGCACAGCAAAAATAAAACTTTTTGTAATCGAAAGTATTTCAAATCAGATAAATGTACATACCGTAAGAACTCTAACTCGACGATAGTAGCTGCTGTAACATCCACACAAGGAGAAAAGAAACTGGCACAATAGATTTGGCAGTGGCTTCCCCTTATCTATAAATTCAATGGTACTTTGAAGAACATGGGGATACATAAGCAGATAGTTTGTCAGCAAATCCCATTCTTCCTGAAAAAGACAGATAAGATTGTAAGTGCTCAATTTCTTCAGCAGACATAAAAATCAAATATATTTAAATATTACAATCTGTACATCTGTTTGAGAAGGACTGTTCTGTCCAATCTAAACAAATTACGAGCCATTTTGAAGATATTGGAATGGGATGATATGTTATGGAAACAATAGATTTGCAACCACCAGTATAAAAATTCTATATACAGTGAAACCTCTTCAAGCCAACATGATAAATACTTCAATATTGTTTTTTTTATATGTGATGATCTTAAAATGAACATCAATCTATTAAACTAATACACACTATTGCTTGTACTGTTGCTGCTGCAACTACATATCCAAATCAGTTCTGGGTCCATGCATTACCTAATGTAATTGTTTTAATTACTCCACTCATTAATTCATCAATGTGTACAAGAAACAGAACTTCATAATTCAGGAATTGTCCTCTTTCAGACCAATTAAAGAGCTCAGAAGCAGAAGGAGCTATCCCTTATTTTTTGTGAAATTTAGTTATTACCATTAAATAAAACTTCAAATATTATTATTTTAGTGTAATATGTTATTTAAATCCAGTATGGAGTTATATGCCAGTGTACTGGATTTAAAAGTGTACCACGTTATGTTATGTAAATTCTAGCATGACCTTCAATATCTACTAGGTCAATGTGGGAGAGCCCCTAGTTATTCTGAGCCCTTCAATTCATTATTGACATTTAAACTACTTTTTTCAACAGATTACTGACCACTTTGGTACTCTTATTCAGTTTCAGATAAGTCTATCTTTCTGATTACGGAGTTCACAGGTAAAACACTGGTGTCTTGCAATGTTCCACAATGCCTCCTTCAACAGAATCAATTGGGATTATCATACTTAATTCTAGGAATATTGTTTTGCTTTTGTGAAATTATCTTTCAATTTTCGAAAGTGAAAGTTTTCGTATCTTTTCCAGAAGGTTCTCGTCTCCAGCGATATTATGGAAACTCAGAATCCAATGACTCTGATTTCTTAATTCAGTCCTAAGTTTTCTGGTCATCTTAAAGGAAATATGATGTCCCACACAAATATGTGATTGTTGGTCAAGAAAAATGGTGGTCATCTCTCATGAAGTAAACATACTTTCATCATTTAGAATAATTATTCTGTTCCATTGAAAAGAGGTCATGAAAAGGGTGGACCTATGAAAGAGATGTCTGGCCAAGAGGTTTCACTACATTTGGAAAGTAATAAGTTCCAAACCATAACTTAACTTATCACACATAAGCAAAACTAAGTGTAAGTTAAGTTCAAGGATTCTTAGAACATAAAAAAAATATCAACCTGTCATGCAGACAAAACTCCCTAACTCAACAGAGAATTCCAACTTCTCATCAGGTGAATTTTCAGGAAGTACGAATTTTAGCTTGTGAAAATTTCTTGTACCCACAATTAACTCTAGAATCACCATATATAAAAAGATCTTTCTGTTTAAATATGCACCTGAAATTGGACAAATTCGCAGATTTATGTGATGGCTTGTTGAGTAATTTTCCTGAATGTTAAGCAGTTTCTTGAAGTTATTTTATGCCTAACTTCTTTCCGTTTTAATTGATTTTGTAATGCCCCCCCCCCCCTCTTGCTTCCCCTTCTTTTCAACCCTTATCAGTCCCCTTCGCTCAGTATTCGACCTCACTCAGCTGGTGTTGCACATTGCAGCTTTGGCATAATAGCTACATCTCAAGAGTATCATGATGTACTGTGCATGAGCAGAATAATTTATTCCAAAGACATACTGCCATGTGATTGCAAGAATATCGTATTTGCCAACCGGGTTCCTAAAAATTTTATTCAAGGTGTGTTCCATTCAGTGCCATTCATCCATGTATGTGAATGTTATGCATTTGTTACATTTTAATTCTTTCCATTTTTCAAAATGTTGTAGTTACTTATCCTTTTTTGTAATATTAGTTGCAGCTTGCAGTTGGAAATAATCATTTCAAACATAACAATTTTAAATGTTAACTATGTATTATATATTTTAATAAATTGGTTATTTTATATTTTTTCAACAGACGAAGACTGATGGATAGGCAGACGAACGGTTTGCCATGATCCAATTTCTCGTAATCAAAACTCGAAATCGTAGATTTTGACGACACAACGTGTTGAAGATAGTATTTCGCTACATATACGATAATTAACCACTCTTTCGCTATTGTCATCTTTTTAGCATCAGACCTCCCGCCCTCCCCCAAAAACCAAATCCTTAACCATTTCCCACAACATATCAACATCAAGTTTTACTGCAGTAAATAACTTTATACTATGCATATACTCTATATACACTAGTATAAGCTAAAACACAAGAGAAAAAATACAACACACAATCATATTACCTTAATGCACTTATAATTAAATAAACCAAATACTCATGAAAAATAATCAAGTTCAACTTACCTCTTTTGTTAATAACGATAAATCTACTGATTCAAGAGGCACAAGTGAAGGATAAATATTTTCTGAACATTTCTTTTCATATTTCTCTTGTATCGCAGAAAGTCGGGCACAATTATACAATATGAAATGAGCATCTGAAACAAAAGTATATAATAAGATAATTAAAACATGAAATGTTTTTCATACATAAAGAAACTGAGCCATTTTCAAACTTAAAGATATCTCAACCACTTAAACCTTTCTAAAAGTATATGTCAAAAGAACATAACTATAGAATTGCCTTTACAAAGTCCAAACACTACAATTAACAGTTTCCACTAAAATCACACAAACCTGTAAATGGAATTCACATGTACTTTTTTATTGGGTTGCAATTAATATCACAAGTAAACAGATTTAGATTCATTTACTCGAAATGCAATATTTTGTCTCAAGGGCTGAGCCCAAACATGTATTCAGTGGCAGGGTCCACAGCAGCTTTTATTAATTTAATGAATTATTTATTTATTTAGTGACAGTAATAGGTAACAGAAACTACTGAAATTTATTTCAATGAAAGTTGAACATTTGGCCACTAGATAAATTTATTGATTAATTAATTAATATTTCATTTACGTCTAGGGGCTCTTCAACTAGAAGTTCGTTGAAACCTACTGACATGATAGCAATAATGATAATGTAGAAATAGTGAAATGGGAAGTAGGGGAAACAAGAAAGCCGACAAAACACCTGCCAATACCTACATTATACACTCTTCTAATAAATATTTTACATAAAGTGTTCAGGTATACAGCAGTAACATTGTGTAGTATATATGGATAAACAGTTCAACAGTTCTTTTACACACCAATACAAAAAGTTGCTCCTCTATAATGTAAAAAAATATGAATAACATTACGAAGGATCATATTATATACTCCACTTTCCTGCAGAAAGGAAAAGAGGTTGGAGAGCACAGACTCATTGTTACTGAGAACCTCCTGTAGAAATCTGCCCGGACAATGTCTACATTAGCTGCCAGCAAACTTCCCACATGGAGGAGAGGTCTGTCTAGATGTGCCACAGACAGGGGCAGTTCCCTTTCAAGTAAACAAAAATGTGCAAAGTGGCAATGACCAATTCAAAAATGACTTGAAATTACTTCCTCATGACTTGTGGCTCAGGATGAGGAACACCTGAAATTAACAGAATCTTTAATCACCCTTAATTTGAAAGTAGTAAAATAGTTTTGAAATGAGCTGAGGGGATGTAGGGAATATAAATAAGTGGATATCAGATTATTGTCTTCAAAGGGCCTGAGAGAGAAGTAAGGTTAAAGTATGGTTGTGTCATGTCAGGGATTTATCAAAGTGGATCCCAGAAACCCAGCATTGTCAACAAAGGGAAGCTGATGAACCTAAAAGAGCTCTGGGTTGTTATGAAAAAGGTAGTCTGCTGAAGTGCATCCAACATATTTTCGTCATTGAAAAATTAAATCCTGTACATTTACTCCATTGATGCAATCTATTAAGAGACAAGTTCAAGTTGCCATTAAATGACATTTAAGTTTCTGAACAAACAAAAAATACCAAAATCATCCACAAATAGCAACACTTGAACTGGTTCGTGCACAACAGAATCAATAGTGTTAATAACTAAAAGCGACACTCAGGATTGATCCTTGAGGTACACTGTTTACCAAGAAGTGACTACTGGACACATTGTCACCCAAAAAAAAACTTGAGGGACAGAAGGAGCCACCTCCTAAGACCCCACCAGCATAATGTTCAAAACATGCTATGCCTGCAAGTTGTGTCATAGGCTTTCTCTATGACGAAGATGGCTACGAAAAGTCCTGTCAATGCAAAAGGGGAAGAGATCTGAGTTGCTAACGCGACTAAGTGATTCAGAGTAATCAATGTTTAATGAATCCACATTCAATTGGATTTAGCAAGTTCCACTCAACTCCAGGGACCAGATTAAGATGCAGGTTTACCATACATTTGAAGTTTTGAACACCAAGCTTGTCAAGGAGATTGGGTGGTAATGTTTGATCTTTTCTTTCCATCAGAAACAGGATAATGGTGGTTTCCTGACATGGGTCAGAGGCACAGCAAACACATGGTTGGGTGTTCAGCACACTCGGGGGCCAAGATCCAGGCAGCACAAGGCCAGCAAGGAATAAAAAAGGGTGATAAAATAACGAAAGTTATATGCAAAATAAAAAGCAAGAGGATGAAAGATAGAGAAAGGAATACAATAGAGCCTTCTCTGCTTCTCTTGTTAGGACATGACCAACCCACCTAGATAGGTCTGACAATATTTCCTTAAAAGAATGTGTCAGCAGATGTATTCTACTAACGATAAAGTGAATGGTCGTCTTTCCTTGCTCCACAGTAGGAAAACACATTTCTCCGCATCTGATTTCTTATTCCATAGTACCAATAGAAGCCACTGCCTTGGCAGAATAGCTAAGTAAGATGGCCAGTAAGGCATACCCTGGATCATCCAGATGTAATCTACATCCACTTGCCACAGAACCTCAATGGACACATATTTCCACAAATGAGAAAAGTAGATTGTAGAAAATGCCAATACTGTCACACATTCTGCTTGTGGGGTACTTCACAAATAAATGAGGTCAAGAGCACTCTCTTTATCTGTGAGAAATGAGCAGATGACAGAAAGTATGTTAGAACAACTTGCTGGAGCAATAACTCAAGCAGTGTAAGACAATGCTTATCAGTGAAGAAAATGTAAGTGGTGTAGTCACCTGCCATCTACATTGTAACAGTGAACTGCACAAAAAAGGCAAGGAGAAAATGATGCAGAAATGTTATGAGAAAAGTCTGAAGGCAAAGACAAGATGCCATTTCAAAAATATATGAAAGCACTTCCAGAATGGAAGTCTGTAACTAGAACATTGGCAGGGAAACTTTCAAAGGTCAATGGTAGAGTCATATGTGAGACCCCACGTGTATTCACTGTGGACCATTATGGGAATTTTAACAGAATTAAGTGAAATGTGACAACACAGTAAATGTAGATAATTGAATTTAGCAGCAATGATGAAATGAGTTATTTCCTGAAACAAATAAAAAGATGTCCATATGTACCATGCAATGTATTTATTAGAAAAGTTTTCCTAAAAATATTTTCGAACGCTTTTATAATTGGACACACTCAACACTGCTTTATATTCACTATAAGGGACAATGTGAAAAGCCTCATCCTCAACTGGAAATGCATAGTGAAATGTTAACCCAGCCACAAATGTAATTTAGCATAAAAATACAAACAATGTTGAACGTGTGTGAAGTGAGAGAAATATATTCCATTTTGTAGATATTCTCATTGTGTGGTACAAAATCGCATTCTACTTTGTTGGAGGTATCTCAAAGATCTAAGGACAGGGAAGAATTTTTGGTACTTTTCAGATCACGTTTCTGAGGAAGACCACTTCTATCTAGCATTCCCCAAATACCCCTTCCACCCTCTCCTCAATCGCCATTTTCTGTGTAGTGGACTCTTACTTTAACCCACTCTTAAACAGCGTGTTAAAATACATACTTCGACTGGTTTCCTGGCTGCCATTAGTGAAATTCACACTAAAACTGCGAGAGGGGCGAATACTCAGCAAATCAATTTTCAAAGAGGCTTCTCCAATTTTGTTGAAAAATGCCTCCCATTTTGGATCATTATCCACTTGTGGTCCATGTTTTTGGCGGGACATTTCCTTCAGTTCTTTGCTTCTTTGTCTACATCAAATATAAAATAAAAGGTTCAAATATTAAAGAATAGCACTGAAACATGAAAAAAAAGCGATGCATAGTTGGTGGATGATGTACAACAGGAGTTGGTCCAAATTTGGAAAGTTTAACAAATTGAAGGAAAAAGAAAGTTGTGCCTTGAAGTGAAAATTGATATTTTGGAGTCACAATTTGTACATTATTACACTAATAAACAAAGACATGAAATTCATTGATCAAACTAGTATTTAGTATTCAGTATCCAGAACAATATAAGCAATAATTTTTTAATACTTGAAATGAAGTGCACTCCAAGCAACACCTACAGTGATACTATTATTGTCTAGTGGCAGGTGCTATAGTAAATAAATTCACCAGATTTAAATGAGTAGAGTGCCATATGTAGATGTCAGATATTAAAGCATTCAAAACTTATGTTTCAGGTGCCATAAACGAAATTAAACATGTAGTTAAAATTAGGATAACATCTGAACGTAAAACAATGTAACATGTAAGAAAATTAATGACTCACCTTGTGTAAAACTAATACTTAATATGAAATGTTACTATGAATAATGAAAAATATATGTGTTTTCATCTATATATTTACAACACTAAGAATTTTATTTCGATTTCTTCTTTAAATGAAAGGTACTGTGCCCCAGATGTGTTTCTCACTAGCTTTTATTGTTAAAACACTATATTTTAATAATGTATTAAAATTAATGGAATGGACACTAACGATATCCTTGCATCATGAGGTTATAGTTGGTGAAGCAAAGATGGCAAGAGTTGTTCGAAGATTGACCGTTTTTAAATGCAAAGGTCAGCTAGTGTATAAAAATAAATGGTATATCCAGCAATCGTCTGACACATGTCCCATTACAAAAACTTTTCATTGTTTATAATTACAGGTGATGCATTACATTTTTCAGCGAAGATGAAAGTATCCACCTTCGGATAGGAGGATAACCTACAAAAGTAGTTAATTTCAACATTCGTATACAGATGCCTATTTATTTACAAATCTGTAATATATGTCAAAACTGACTTATTCAATGGAGGGAAATATTTTCATGTAATACTGATATTTATGAATACAACACATGTGGTTGAAATCATATTCACCAAGTGTCAGTATTAACAGCTACATGTTCGTTTCTTTACTACGCACAGCCAGATGACATTAAACAACTGAAGTCGATACACAAATTTAAGTTAAAAGTAAAATCTTTTTTGCTGCATAACTGTTTCTATACAATTAGAGACTATACTGATCAACAAAAAGAAAAATAATCTTTATTTAATAAAACGGTGATAATTAATTTACATTGGTATTATATAATTTTTTTAAACAGACTAAATATGCTTGTAACAAATAATGTATCTCAGCTTCTGGGTCAATGACCCCCATCTTGATCAGGTTTTTTTGTCCAGTTTCCCTGATATATTGAGCAAATGCTGAGATGGGCCCTTGTCTTACTTCTGGATGTAAATTAAGCTTCACTAAACGAATGTTTTATTTTACTCTCCCCTTTTCCTTGTAGTGGTCAGAGCTAAGGGCGAGTTACTATTTTGTTAGCAATGCAGAAAATAAAAACTGCAGTTCATTTACTGTTGCAAAAACGTTTCCTTTAACTCTGTAACGAAAATGTCTCATCTTCCCAATTTTGCTAATCTTGCACTTTTTTTAAAATTTGATCTTTATTTATTTAACTTTAACCTTTACTCAACTTTTAACTATTTACAGTTAAAATGATGGGAAGGGATTCTAGAACTCAAGGAAACATGTGTAGATTATCTTCTCCCCTATACATAACAGTTTTTACAGTTTATTGACTAAATAAATCTAAAAATTTACAGTTGTTGCTAAATAAGGGTCACATCTTATGCCTGGACAATTACTACAACTCCCCATCATTAGCTGTGATGGTTAAAAATGGGGAACGGATTGGGTAAAACATTACGTTTCTACAGAAAAAATGTTCCTAACATATTGCGGGAAAAGAAATTGAAGCGAAGTGAGTGCATCGCTCAACACTTGGGCCGTGTTACAGTGTTGAAATGGATGAATAAAAAGGCAGTTTCTATGATAAGTGCCTGATACAAGGATGAATTCAAAAAAGTCATTACAAAGAGAAAAATAGAAATAAGAAATCCTGCGTGTGTTCTTAATTATAATAAATCTATGGGAGGAGTAGATCTACACATTCAGTACTTGTAAACGACTCTTATTGAAAGTAAGAAAAACAAGAAATGGAATATGAAGATGTTCAGTAGATAATTAAATGTCACTGTGTTAAAAATATTTGTTTTTGGGAATTGAATTTCACCTCAAGGTGACAAAATTAAAAACAGAAACGAGGTATGGTCACAAGAATGGGAGATGTCGAGAACCTACATTCCAGTGCCCAGACTGAAAGGTAGACTCCCTTACACTTGTTTAAAACGCTATCATACCGTAGAAAATTATCAAGAGTATCTGTAAAGAAAATTAGTGTACCTTCTTTTTAATTCTGATTTACACTTAATAAACATTGATGTACATGAATGAAAGTGTTGTCATGTTGTTTTAATTTTCCATTATCTCAAAGTCATTATTATTTAATTATCATTGTATATAATATTATTGAAAATGTGAAGTAATGCATTCTCAGGAAAGAGTATGTTTTCAGAGTTGGAGAGTGCAACGCCATCGGAGCTCAGATGCTCCAGCAGCAGGCCTCGCCAGATGCTCTCAGCTTGTTACCTGCCCCCACGGTGCCGCTGACTGCACCTTTCACCTAAAGCCACCTTCAAATACTACCATGATCTACCATGATACCACCCTCAGCATCGTGTTGATTTTTTTTTTGGGGGGGGGATTGAACATGACCTCATTTAAAGATCTACTTTTGCAGAGAGAAGAAGTGGATATTGGATTTTTGTATTCATGTTCATGATTTTCAATATCAGTAATGAGAGTTCCAGAAAATGTCTGGTGCTAAACAAGAGAAAATAGAAAACTAGAGCATCTGCAGAACCCCTGGAATCAACTCTTCAATAATCAATAAATAAATGAAGAAAAGGAATGACCACATATGACACAATGAATGTAAGTATTCGAAAGCAAATCCTATCTTACACATTCAGAGAAAAAACAAATTTCGGAAAACTTAAAAGAAGAACTATCAAAGAGTTGCAACACACCAATCGGCCTAATGACTCAGGCCAAGGAAAAAGAAGAAGGGAAGAAAAGGAGAAGAAAAAAGGAGAAGACATAGAGAACAAGAGAAGAAGAAAGGAGGAGGTGGCAGTTTTACATTTATTTGCATTAAGTACTTAATCATTGTCAATGCAAAAAGCAGTGAAGAAATTCAGTGCATTTTACATTTTCAGATCATCAGTTAGAAGATGACCTCAACAATTTTTAACATCAAACTGATACCAACTATAAAAACCAAAAGAATTTGATTTGAACTTCAATTTTAACAAGCCTGAGAAATACAAATAGATGTCTAAGAAAAAGGCATTTAGAAAGATAAATAAGCATTAAATGGCATTCAAATGAAAATAAAACATCAAACAAATATCTTTTTCTATTATAATTTGTGCTCCTATACTAAAAGCCTTTAAATATGTTCAATAGAATGAAATAGGTATTTTCCTAGATATCCGTCTAGTCATAATGGTATAGATGACAAAATGGTCAACAGCCCTGACAACCCAGTCTTTGGTTTGTGTTCAATAAAGGAAACTACCCAGTAACAATCCCGGCTGAGAACGGCTCTGAAATAATTGAAAAGCGTGTATCAGAAGATAATTCAGTCGAAAATACAGATTACATTCCTAAAGGAAATACACAATAACGAAGTTGATTTGCACTATTTAAAGGTTAACCCACATCTTGGTTTCTCATGTCATTAAAATTTACATTAGTGGTGATTTGTTCAAAAATTTACATTATTGGTGTCATGAGATTTCTCGAAAACCCTAAAGTTTCCTGAGGAAATGAGCTCCAAATTCCACATCTCCAGAAATGCTCCAACATTATTTTCAAAATCAAAAACGGCTCTAAATTTTTTTCTTCAAACTTTTTGTGCAGATAATTCTAATTGCATTGTTTGAGATCACATAAAATTTATTTTTCTGTACTCTCTTGTTTTTTCAAAAATTACATAAATGTAATTTGTTTTGAAATACCTCCCACGCCTTTAATGCGCACATTTCCAGTGATTTGTATACGTTTTTGCATTTGTGAGTGAAACTGCTTGAATAATTTTTTTTGAAAACTCAAAAGATTTCTGTGAAAAAGAGCTTTCAAATTCACTTCTAAGTAATGCTTAATTGCCATTTTTTTAAAAACGGCTCCAAAAGTTTCTGCAAAAATGTCCACATAGGATGAGCTTTTATTCTTTAGTATACGTAAGGAATACTTCTGTTCTGCCATCAGAAAACTGAAAAATCAAGATTTTTTTTTTAATGCCTTAGGTAGCAATTGATAGAAGCTGGCAAGAAGATGGGGCCAAGACCATAAAGCTACCCCACACCAAAGAAATTAGAAAACTAAGTATGTGCCCTTCTGCAGCATCACTAGTTCTTTTTGTTTTTCAAGAAAGCCATGACTTTACATGAACACTGAAATATAAAAAAAATCTTTTTCTCAGAATATATAAAATGTTACTTATACAGTTAAGGTTTTCATGAATCGGTAAGGATGAATGACGATTGTGCCTCGCAAATTATTTACTTGAAAAAATGTATATTACCAACAATCTACAACAATGATGTATCATTTGCAATTTAAACAACAGGGAAATTTTATAGCAAATAGAAGGCTGAAGAAGAGAACACTGTACAACTTAAGGAAGTCATTTAAAACAGCACTATGCACCACTCAGTTGAGGAGAAAATCCATGAAGGGGCAGTTAAGCAGATTTGAGGGGAATCTTTCAATTGGGACGGGGCATACCAGTAAAACAACCCACGCAAATGGTTTGGGTGATCTAAATATATTATAAAAATTAAACTACTAAACTAATTTTAAAGCTTCATTATTGGTTACTTTATTTATCAATGAAATCAAGTCCTAGAACATTACCACAGTGCCATTACTTTTGTCAACTGAAGTGAAAGTTGCATGGCAGTGATGTTGCTGTTTTATTAGAAACTTACGTAGAACTTGATTGCTTCACAGTGATTAGCTAAGTTCCTGACAAACCATAATTTTTCTTGCACTCTTCTGATTCTTTGTGATTTGTGTTCTCAATCATCGAGTGTTTTTGTTACAATGGTGTGAATACATGTGGTTCTTTGTGTGGTGGCTAAAAGGATGATTGGCTGTGATTAAGTGGACTCCAAAACATGGTTTGTTTGCAACAGGGTTTACGTGTACCGGCTCTGTCTCTAATGTTGGCCAGGTGGAAGGAGTTGTGATAGCTTTGAAATGAGGTGAAGAAAGACACCATTCATGTGCATGTCCTGTGCAAAAAGGAATGGTTTGAAGGAAGTGAAAGAAATATGAAAGATTTTTGTCATTCCTTGGGAATATCTCCAACTTACTCAAACCAAGACAAAATCACACTTGGGAAAGTTTTATTCATTTACTTTAGAGTGCTTTTTGAGTTAGTAATAAGTGGGGAGCGAATTTCTAAGATTTCGCGAGTTATGACTGTTGCTTCAGGGCATAGCTTGACATTTGGTGAGAATTGGATGCTATGTAGACTAACGTGTTAGTGCATATTTGGCAGATTCTTCCTATTGGTACATATTCATGTAATTGCAGATGCATATTTTGCATATTCGGTTAAAATAGAGATATCTTTAAAACGTTTCATCTTTTCATACAATTTATTTATTTATGAGCATTCTTTGATTAGAATGAGCTAGTCACAGTTTGCATTTATTTCTTTTCTATACATGATAAAATACTTGTGCATATATAGGATATTTCTTTATACCATCTTTTTTTAAACCAGGCACAAGAAATGCAACGAAAAAAAAAAAAAAAAAAAAAAAAAAAAAAAAAACAAAAAACAAATACACAATTTACTTCACTAAGGTGAATATTTACTTCAATTATTTCTCTATAATGCAAGGTAGATTGTATAATGTTTGCATAAAAATATATTTAATTCCAAGCATGCTTCTCCTAAATTTTATCAAGAAAGGTTTATTTAGAAAATGAAATTGTTATTCTTTAATGTATAATTCAGAATATTTAGATCATTAAGGCATATTTTTAATAGCATATTTCAAAATTTTTTAGGGCATAAAAATCCTCTCCCTAGTAATAAATTTGGGGATGAGCGCAAGGAAATATCTACTTTTACCACCTCCCGTTCCCTACTCTTTCTACAGTCTCTCTTCCCCACCCTCTCCTTGCTTCTCTAGGATGCACCATATTCATTACTTACTAAATACAAATTTCAAATTATATTTAAAAATAAGCAATTACATTTAAAACATGTGACCACATTATCTGAGGTCCAGGAAATCTAGCTCTAATTGCATTAAGGTACACACATACATCCTACGTGCATTCATTAAAACAAGATCTCTGCATCATTCAAATATTAATGTCACTATTTTACAAAATCAAACTACTTGCCTCAAATAATCAGTTGTCACTGCATTTCCTCCTTTGCCATTCTTAGTATTAACAGAAACAGTTCCACAATAGATGAGAACATTAGCATGATTTGCCTCAGTAGGTTTAGAGGACAAATGATACTGCCAGTCACCACAATAGGATGCCTCACTATCAACATCGATATTTACTAAGTGACCTGTTTCTGTCAATAAATTCACAAGGACATTCCTCACCAAGTTTCTTCTATAATCCGTTAAATTCATCATCAACTCTGCATCTTTTAAACAATCTTGGGTTAACACAACTTTCTGAAATACAAAATATGTTGCTAAGCATATTGTCCCTCCCCAAATACTTCACAAGTATTTCACCAATTTGCAAGGTTGTAGCTATTTTCTTACCTTATAATTATTTGGTAATTTTCCATAAACAGTTTCTTGGGCGAGAACTGAGAAAAGGACAGTCTTAAATGTATGAAGTCTGTTTAAAAACAGACACAACCGGTCATTGTGCACAGAACACTGCAAGAGTTTGAGAGACCAACCGTCACTCAACTTGACAAGATTCTTTGATACCTAGAAATGAATAACCTTTTAACACTTAGATACAGAGCTTCATAAAAAAAAGCAATTATCTTCTAACTACACAGATCACACTTTGGCCTTTAAGCACCCAAATAAATAAAAAGATAATTTAAATATTATATAATCACAAAGCAAGTTTCAACATAATGCAGTTTGAACAACCATGTATATTTGCAGGTTCAAAAGGTACCTTTTCAGGTTCAAGGTTTCCATCTTCACCAGAGTCTGCAGACACAGAAAACTTGGTGCATTCACATTGACACACATGTTCATTGTTATGCATGTTTATGTGTGCATGCTTCTGTTGGGCTTTCAGGTTAAGAACAATTGAAAAATCGCCTTCGGTCTGTAAATGTTCTTTATGTTTTTTAACTAAAGCACATTTACCAGAACATTTCCCCGAAAAATAATAGCAAATATTTGCATAAAATGAAGAAAGTATATTTCTATCCTCCATTATTGAAATATTAAATACACTAACTAACACGAACTAGCTACACACAACTTTCAAATCATTTTTGAAGTCTTCACGTGTTGTTGAGAGAACGTATATCTCACCCTCATCCTTCCGTCATCTCACTGCTTGTCGCTCGACCTCGACACCGCCAAGAGACTTTATTAACGTCCGTTGTTCAAGCCTTTTAATACCTCTACGACGGCCCTATCAGTCAGTGGCAAATCTAATGAAGATTGAATAATTCTAGGACCCTTGAATCTGGTAAGATGAATCACATCTGGTCGGATCTGGTCAGATCAACGAAATCAACGAGACACAAAGAGTATCGAACAGAGTATACGTATCGAATACTCTCTGCTCAGGGGTGCAAACATACCAGAAATTATTTTTCGCATTCATTTGTCCCACATTCGTCCTTCAAAAGAGGATGGGAGTTAAACCATGCTTGCCATGCTCGGCGTTGGGTAATGCTAGTGGCACGCCGGGAGGTTTTTAAATGTGATTAACTAATCACGTTTGTGTGTAAAAAATATCAATTATGATTGGCCGTGGTTTATGCAAGATTTTTACTTCAAATATTCAAAAGCCAGCTTTTATTCAGTGCAGAAAGAAGAATTTTATTCGCGATGATCATCTACACGATATCAAGTTACACAGTTGTTTTATAAGTATTTGTTCGTTTTTTGCTAGCAATGTTGGAAAATCCAACCATTTAAGAAAATATACATTTTTTCAAAATAGAAAGGCGTTTCTGAGTGGTGGCAATAATGTATTCCAAGTTGTTAAGTACGGTTTAACGAGAATACCTCTTAGCCTAAAAGAACACTCAGTACAGGTAGTGAAAATGTGCACTAGGCAGTGCGAATTTGTTATAGCTCATAGAATTCGAAGAGGACAGCAAATGTTCAGTTTGTACACAAAAATGTGGGATGAAGTTGCATTGAAAAATCTTATTGTGAAGATAAGGAAACAGTTTGCAAGAAGGGGTAGGGAGTTGTTACTAAGTGCTGCTGGAGTAACAGCTTATAATTGGGAAAAAATGAGGATAACAGATAAGGAAATAAATGGGTAAGATAAAAGTGATTTTGCATTTTGGAAGAATGCTATTCAGATTTCATTAATCTTATGTCAAATTGCAGTTTCATGAAGGAAATTGAAAACTGTTATCATCTACGTGAAGCAACTGTAACATGCAGAAAATGTAGTAGACGAGTGATATTTGATATGCAAGTACCAGATGTACAGTATTGTGATTGCAGTGGATCAAAAGCTCATAATTCATCTGGTGAGCAATTAGTATTTTATTGAATAGAAAATTAATAATTTAGCAGTATTTTAATAGCTTCCATTTTCCATTCTTAGTTGAACAAGGTTGGGTCCCATTTCTGGAAAGAAATGACTTAATTGTTTGGAGGAAGGAACATCCTGAATGCCATGGTCTTTATGCTTATAAGGGTAAGTGGAATTTATTTTTGTTCTATTTTATCTAGTATGCTCCACAAGCTCTATGATTTCTATTTTGTCTTTTGCAGTGTATGCCTCATATGATGATGTAACAGCTTATGATTTCTTGTGTGTTCAACTGGACACTGAATATCGTAAAGAATGGGATCATACAGCAGTTGAATTGACAATACTAGAAACTGATCGCTCATCGAACAGTGATATCATATATTGGGTAATGAAGTGGCCGGTATGTAATACAAATGAAAAGATTTTTTCCTGGTTAAAGTAAAGAAGCTGAGGTTCTGTGTAAATCCCCACATGAGGGAGAAGAGACGGAAGTGACATTACATTGCAATCACTGTTAAGAGTACAGATTACCTTGGCTTCTTTACCTTTGCAAAAATTTGTTTAATTTGTTTCTTACTAGTCAATATTTCTCAGCGCATGTTCAGCAACAGAGACTATGTATTTAATCGTCGATATAAAATTGATGAGAAGGAGAAAGTTATGGTGGTTGTAAACAAATGTACCGAACATCCAAAATGTCCTGAAAGATATGAAAATATAAGAGTGAAAAAGTACTGGTCTTCAATGGTCATCAGACCTCATAAGGAGTTCGATGAGGTATTTACCTTTTTGTTTTGTATTAATATATTAGTTTAGCCATTTATAATAATCTCCTAACCCTGGGAAAAATATTCAACTCCAGTATATTAAAGAAATGTGTGCCAGTAATATCAATTTTTCTTCAGAGTTCAGCAAAGTGTTCATTTTATCCACCACTAATGAAGTATTTTAGACTATTGAGAGAATATTAATGTTGAAACTATCTTTCTGAGATATTTTAATGTTTATTTGGTGCTGGTGCAATTTTCATCCATAAGGAAAGGAATGTATCGTCTAAATTTTCTAAAAATCTCATTTGTGTTGAAATTCTTTAATAAATCTAGAAATAACTCATTTAGCCAATACAAATACTATTAAAAACAAAATGGACTTATCATTTAAGAGATTAGTGGATGAAAATTATTCCACATTGCATCTCTTAACACATTTCATTACGAAGAAGTTTCATCTAATGAAATTCTTTTTCAGGGTAGAATGCCATTCATTTGCTTGCAAACTCATACTTAATAAAGTGTAATTGCACATTGCATAATTTACTTTCAGATACACTGGCCACTAGGTAGCAAACTGACTTTAACACACAACCTAGATTAGCTCCAATGTGTCTGAATATAAGGGGTCTAAATCTATTATTGCGCACATCAATTATCACACCCTTTGTTATGAATCTCCTGCTTATTATGTAATATTAGAAATTTCCAGTGGATGAAACATATGAGATTTAAGCTTCCAATAATTGAAAAACATTAATTTTTTTTTCCCCCAGCCTGGGATTGAATATTGCTTAACCTATTTTGATGATCCAGGAGTATCTATTCCATCAACAATTACATCTTGGGTGGCTGTTAGTGGTATGTTTATTTACATTGCACAGTTTTAGAAATAAAATCAAAAAATGCAGTACTTTAATGTAATTCTTAAGTCTATTTAAAGATTCATTTAAAATCAAGTAGGTGATTATACCAATGTGAAGTGTGTTTTTTTTACCATTTGCTAAGAAGGGCAAACCTGTCACCCCTTGAGACCTTAAAAAGCTTAAAATGTTTTATGCAGGCTTACCTGATTTTCTCACAAGACTGAGGGAAGCTGCCCGTCAACTTGCTATTCGCAGAAAACATTCTCAGTATCATTGGATACCCATGCCCCAACCAGAACCTGAGGAGCCTCCTAAGTCTACAACCAATCTTCCACCTGAGGTTACTCCGAAAGTCCCCCTAACTTCCAGTCAGGTTTCTCACCAGGAACCGCAAGACAGTTACCTACAGTTAAGTACTGCTAGACTGTTTCTTTGACAAGAATTTCAAAATGTTTTTAAATGTGGGTGAGGCTGAAAATATCAACAACCAGTTCCTACTAGTGTTTGCAGGAACCTAAAACCACCACTGTTTCTAAGAGTGATTCTTATTGGTAAATCAGATGAAATGCAATGTCTGCTTTATGACCAGATTTTCACAAGACAGATCTTGATGAATGAACTGCATGAGCTGTGTAGTACAAGGAAATAATTGTTAAATTAGAGAGTTGTATATGTATATAAAAATCTTTATAGTATTAAATGGATTATTTGTTGAATCAATTTCATTAAATGAAATTAAAAGTTTGGATGATGTAGTGCTATGGAGTTTTCTAGTCAAATTTGTTATTGTATAATTCATTTCCATGCTGAAGGTGAGGTAAGGTAGCAATCAGAGAATGTCGTGAAATAATTTGTCATTTTGTAAGCGTATCTTTAATTTACAAATAAAAAATAAAATATTAACATTTTGATTTTTGTTTTACAAGTCCCCTTTTACATTATTCTACTGCACTCTTATATACATCTGTACAAACAAGTGAATTTTTCTACATACCTACTTTTGTACATTCAATCTTTTGTTGTCTAAACACATTTATACTCCATTTCCTTATTATGGGGAATCTTTCATAAAAAAATCACTTGAGCCTGTGATGGCTTTTAGAGGAGGTATTTAAAAATTACATTATAAAACAGAATCTGTGGCTGTTAAAAACAATATCTTCAGTTTTGGTCTCAATAAGACTTCATAAAATACAGTACAAAAATGCTTGTGTACACAATTTAAATTTCATTACATTATGCAACACCTGGAGCCATAAATTAAACCTTGTTGACACAGTATTGTCTCTGTTCACCACACATTTCCTCATTTTACTTCTTCCTTGGATCTCGTTTTAGTAACAAGTAATATTTGGATCTTTTTTATTCTTTCCACTCAAGTGCCTGCTCCCCTATACTTTAGTACCAACTTCTATTATGTACAAACAGCTATCCAGTGGGAAAGTCTTACTGCAAGGGCAGTCTATTTGTATTGAGAATTCTTTATTCACGCAGTTTTTGCATGACCTCGAGCTGCTACCGCTGCAACCAAAGCTGCTCCACGACCACTTCCATCTTCTGACAACATTATGTCAAACTAGAAGAAGAAAGATAATTCAATACACAAACTTAACACAGGGCTATTACACAGATTATAAGAAAGCTGTTATACTTGGAAGTAGCAAAAACTTTGTGATTTTCAGTTTCAAATATAAAATTAGGACAATTATATGAGAATTAATCCAAATTATGGAGAAATGGGAGACAGAACCAGTTACATACCACTGTTTTAAAGTAGAAATGAGAAGTAAAGCCATTCATTTCCAGAGATAATATGTTGTGACTAATTGCAGTAAGGAATTAAAGGTTGGTTTGAGTGTAATGTGAGGTTTTTGTTTTCAATTCAAATCTGACATAAATAAAATATCAGAATATAATGAAATGTCAGAATATCTACAGTGGTGGAATTTGGCAAAAACAAGAATAATGCATTTGCAACTTGATTCCTGCCCTTTTTTGTCAGAGTTTAGATCGAATTACTGGAATAAACACTAAAAAAAATAGCAATCAATAAACCAAGAATTTCCCCTAACAAAAATGACTTAGATTATCGCAATTGAAAGGACAACAGAATTTGAAGCATATTCAAGGGGTAACACATTTAAATGTAGCATGAATACAAAAAAAAACAACAACATTGGAAGGCTTTTTTGATGTAGCAGAAAGGGACTTCTAAATTTAATATCAAATAAAGGATATTTATGATCAGTATCAACAGCCCACAATGGCAAGAAATTCTCATGTAATAAACATGTTACTTTACGGTAATGCCAGATGACATTAAACAATTCAAATCAGTACACAAATTTAAGTTAATAGTAAAATCTCCAGCTGATTCTATACAATCAGAGACTATTGTACACTTTTTTAAAAAAGACTTAATATGCCAGTAACAAGTAGTAATGTATTTCAGCGTCAGGGTCAATGACCCCCCCCCCTTATCTAAATAGGTGAAAAAGAGAGAAAGAAGAAGAAGAAAAAATCAAATCAAACACTCAATTCGTTTACAGATATTTAAATAAGTTCTCAATAACTCTGGAGTGGAAAATTCTAACTTTTCAATTGTTGCTAATATTTTTTAAAAATTTAATTCAATTTTTTAACTTTCAAGTATTTATAGTTAAAACGTTGGGGGGGAAATTCTGGAGCTCAAGAAAACATGTGCAAATGGCACTTCTTACATCACATACAGTTTTTACTGTCCTTTGACTAAATGAATGAAATTATATCTTTCTCAGAAAAAACAACAACGAAGTTTACCTTCTATTACTGTCATTGTTTTTAGAATTAGTTCATGCGTTTTTACATTAAGGTGACTAACTTAAACTAACATTTTTGCAAAGAAGTTTGGATAAGGTTTTAGAAGGAAGAAAGAAAAGTGTAGTGCAAGTAGCATATATGTAGGATATTACCACGCTTTTAGAAAAGCAACCAGTTTGAACCTTCATTCACTCTCCACAAATATTTTGAACCCTAGTCTCACATTGAAGAGGTACTATTTATTGCTTAATATCTCTTATTTGGTTTGTTTTTTCATTATACTGTTATAACTATCATTTTGTTCTGTTACCTTGAGCCCTGGAGTCACAAGTGTTGCAATTTTATCCATCATAAGATTGTGGAAGTGAGGATGATAACGGTAGACTGAACCATCAATGCCCACAGTAACACTTTCTTCCTGGATTTTATTGATTAAAGTTGCTACAGCAGCTGATGCTAGATGTGCTGCCCTCGTTGAAACTACTTGGCAAACATATCTGACATTGGCACAGTCTTGGTCAGTTGCGTGGCCTAAACCTAACTCTTCTAAAACTTGCCGACAAGAAGCGTATGTGCCTTTCTTATCACTGAAATACATTTTACAGTCATTAATTACATGTCCCAATAGATATGGGCATTAATAGGACAAGCACTGAGTATACAATAGGAATTATTGATATGATTCATACCTTTCAATTTCTGAAACATATTTTGTGAAGAAATTGCCTCGTTTGAACAGGAGATCTGAACCTTGACCATTGAATAAAAGTTTGTCATTTGTCATTTTCACAAGGACTAATCTTACCAGCTCTCCCATGTACATTCCAGAAATCATTTTTTCATGCCTGGAAATGATAAGTTTTGTTAGATCTTGAAGTTTTTAAATATTTTAAGAAAAAAATATTAATGCCTCTCACAATTGTTTGCCAGGGTTGATAGAATTATTATCAATATCACGGTCAAACTCTGTGCGCACAAAATCTAAAGCACCGTCATCTCCAAAAGCTCCCCATTCAGTGTTGATAAGTACATAAGGCTTCGATCTATCTCCATCAAACAATTGTGCATTTTCTACCTTTTCAACATAGCAAGCGTTGCTCCCAGTACCTGTAACAGAGTAGGCAATTCAATAAAATTACAATTTATTGCGCAATAAATTTTTAATTCAATAAAAGAAAGTCATGCAATATTAATTCCAAAACTTTTTACACACACTCACAAGCATACAAGGAACATAATATAAATGTGGTCTGCACATAGATTAGTAAATAAACCCCAACAATAAATTAATACAGCATCACATCCCAGTTTGTAATTATAAGGTTATAAACACCACAAAGTGCCATATAAGTGTGCAAGGTCTTCAGAGAAAAGTAATTTAGTTCGAAATAATGTACAACAGATAAAGAGGTATAAGAAGTTCAAAGTCATCAACATGACTGCTTTACTTTAACATTTGCAGAAAACAGCTTTAAATTCTATTGATGGAAGAATACTTGCATATATCTATTAAAAATGAATTCATGATACTCTTATTCTCAATAAAAATACTACAAAAGGTTAATTAAAATACTGATGTCTAAGTAATTAACAAAGTTTGAAAGGTTTTTACTTAAAGCAGCAAAGTAAAAACCATTTACTTTCAAATAAAGAAAGGTTTTACGAAGAATCATGATGACTATTGTACCTTTATTTCCAAGAAACGACAAAGGAGGTACTAAAAATGTAAATGCTCAATAATTTCAGATTTGCTAGTATGTTAAAACACAAAGGAATATAGTAGTTGACAATAAACCAAAGGCAGTACAATGACATTACAAAGAGGTCTGAGGAAATCTGTTAAGTACCACCACCTGCAAAAGAAGAATTAATGCAATTTATGCAACATGAGATAATAATACATATACTTTTGCAAGAGCATTTCTCCAGTTGCTGATGACCCTACACCACAGTATATAATTCAAATTCAAAGTAATATTTTTATCATATTTGTACATTTTTAAGCTATTTGTGGCAGCAGATATGATCTACAAAATATTTGAGGATTCTTCTTTTACTTTGCTATATCAGCGTAATACTAGAAGTTTTAATCAGGGTGTCTAGCAGAAAATGTGGAATTAGACATTTTTTTTCCATCATTGATATTCTAGAGGAACATATACAAATATTTTAATCCAGGAAAAGCAGTGCTTGTATATGAACCAGAAAATTGAATCACAATTCTTTACTAATTAAATTCATTTGTGTTTTATCCAGAGACGTGTTGCACCTGTTTAATTCTTTCAGATGAGATTAGCGCCTAAGTACTAACTTATAGGAGTGATATCTCTCATTTATAGTGAGGAAGAAAGTCTGCAGCTCATTCTACCAACATAATTTATGTTGCAAGCACTCTCACCAGCAAGGTGTCACTGCCGAGAGACTTTCCTTGTGTGCTATACAATGTCCATTGGTCGAAACAAACAATAGATGACATGTGACATGCGTTTGATTTGGTTTGATAGAGATTTTAATTCAATTTTCTTACCAATATTTTTGACATAAAAAAAAATTGTTTTTTAAAAATTCAAAAGAAAATTTTAAGTTACAGTTAAAAGAAATGGACAAACAATGAACAATGAAAATAATGTATTGGACCAGCAATTTAATATTATTAAATTATCAAATATATCTTATCATTAATCCTATTTTAACACATATGTCCAATGAACACTGTTTATTGCATGGTAGTAGAATTTCTAGTTGTGTTTTTTAGTCATTGCAATCTTGAACATTAAACCAGTTTTCAGCAACTTCCATATTTTGGTGAAACATTGTAAGATATGAAGAAAAAAATCCTGGACTTGTGCAGAAATTTATTTTCCTTAAGTGCTGAACATCCTATTTTTGAAAATATTTGGACGTTTGTTTCTGTCTTGATTATATTTTCTAAAGACTTTTTCATCTCAGAAAATTTGTGCAAGTTTCATTAAAGAAACTGGGCAAATTTTTACCTCACGTCAGAATTCGTAATTCACATTTAGATACATCATTTCAAAATGCAGCATAGAAAGTTTTAGGTTGAATTTTAGACAGTTACAGAGTGCATACTCAATAATATTAATTTTTGAGTGTAAATTTCTACTGCAAAATTTTAACTTAAAAAAAAAAAAAAAAAAATTCAAATGAGAAATTAACCTTGTGAATGCCAAAATATTATAAGTGCTGAAACTAGAAATGATAGAAAGATCAGAAGATTAACTATTTACAAAATAAAAAGAGGTGAGTAGTTTTTAATGCAACAAGAAGTAAAAATATTTTTAGCACGCATAAGCAATACAAAATTTTACCATTGTTAACCATTTATATACAGTTTCTTAATAAAAAAAAATTTTAAAAACACTAATAGAATTCAATAATTTAATTTTGCTCAAAATTTTGCCAGAGGTGAATTGTGTTATTTTGCTTTTGTCTCTTTTTTAAATAAATCCTTATGAACATCATATGAACACAATTATGTTCATCTACTTAATGTGTAATGAAAATACAAAAGCTAAGTTCACAAAACTACAAATAGAAAAGATATACAATCACAAAAGGAATTGCATACTTAAGAAAATAACAAACACTACAACAAGAAAAGAAATTGTGACACACTTCAGGAGTGATTTTACTCTACAAGGAATTTTAAAAGAACAGCTGACACACAAGCTTGCAAATACATTTCTACAAGACTGCAATGTACAGCAAGGCAGAGACATGTGGAGCAGAAAGCAATGCAGGTGTAGTACTTGTGAATCCATGTCGCACATACCAACAATGAGACCTATTCTGCAATCGTGCTTCTTCCAGGCGCAGGACATTAATGTGCCAGTTGTGTCATTGAGAATTGCAGTAACATCAATCGTAACCTCCTAGAAGAAATGCATTTTCCATTTAGAAATTCAATACAATGTTAAAAAAATTAGTGGAAACCATGAGCTACAATCTGGATCTCTTCCTGAAAACAAAATTAATATTATCAGGTAATTGAAGACTGTACATCCCCTTCAGAAATTGGAAGTTTTCATAATATAACTTGAAAAAAATATTAAATACACAACATGTTCATTAAGGATACTTCATGAATTTTCAAACATTATATGAATAATTAGCAAGTTCAAATGCATGTAAAAAAATATGTAATTAATTTCATAAACAAAAACTATTATACCGAAATACTTAAAATATCTTATTGAAAACAAAAACCATTAGTGAAAATTACAAATCTTTGTTCAAATTCTGTAGTAACATTTCTGCAGTAGACCTTTTAAATTACAAAAACAATATTTTGTTTCTGCTTCCAAGTTCCCTCAAGAGAATGTACATCTTTAACATTACCTATGTGTGGGCCACTCACTCCTCCCCACATTCACACTGGTGCAAGAACTAACTGACTTACCCACTATTAGACCAACCCTACAGTTTGATTGTTTGTGGGCACAGGACAGAAGTGTCCCTGTGGCATCATTCAACACACCCGCAATTTCAATCTTCACTGCCTGAAAGCATAGGTATGATACGCGAGAGCTATACCCCACAGCTAAACACACAAGTTAAGCAATAATTACAGCTAGATGTGTGTTGTGTATATACCTATTTTATTTTGAATTAATTTCCAAACGTAATTTTATTATTAATTTCTCCTGTTTTCCAACATATGAACATTTAATTCCCATCTTTTAACACAAAAATACTGGTATGCATTTTTTTTAATTTTTTTTTTTAAAGTTTTTATAAAGAGCATATGATCCCAAATACAATGTATAGCAAGAGAATATTCTCTATCCTCTTTTAATTTACTTGATAAAAAAAAAAAAGATTTTTGAAAATATCATGAGCACATATATACTCAGGTCTTCAACTTCCTAATGTCATGAAGTAAACCTGCCATAATTTTCTTGTAGCAAGCAATTTGTGCAGAAACTACTCCACACTGCCTTAGTTAAACGTGGGTCTATTCTTCCCTGCTTCACTTTACATATTTCATCTTCATCCCCATGAATAATGTTTAAGTAATTGTGATAACTGGAAGTTCAATCAAAAACAGTACCTTGGATTGATCAATGAGAAATTCTCATGTAATTTAAGTGTGAATGGCTCAATGTGCATTAAAAAGCTGAAGTCTGCTAATAATATTGGCTGAGCTACTATAGTCTTTAAAGTGCACTCTCCCTTCCAAAAACTGTTTGAGAACAATACACTATTTTTCAACTCTGGCCAAAATAATATACCAAATTTATTTTCATGAAGAATCTGTTCTTGTTAGTTTCAAAATTAAAATTGATTTTAAAATGTGCATGCTTAATTACTTTGAAACCTTAAGTCTACTAATGTGTTTTTTTTTTTTCAGCAAAGACTAAACATTTTTTGAATTTTGTTTATTTTTTTTGCAAAAACTCTTAAGGAAGACTAAATTGTCATCAAGTTAGTTTGGTACATTGTTTCTGGAGAAATACTTGTCATTTATAACATTTACTCATTTTAAAAATTTCCATTCAAATTACCAACACCAAGATTACTTAGTGCCAGTTTCATTGAGTGTCAACTGGGCAATTATTTGCCCCAATTTTGTTTTCAGAAAGCCATTAATGCAATTTTGCTTCTCAAACATTGAAACATTTTTTTCCTTCCAATTTTGATTCTATGCCTTATTGTTATAAGTTATTCATATAAATAGCAATGATAGCTTGACGAACATTTCAGTCTTTTGGCTTGAAAATGCAACAAAACTGATTGATAGAGGTGCACTCATACAAAGTAGGTTATTCATTTCTTGGCAGAAAATTAATTTTGACCTATGTTTATGAAAATGTATTTTGCCTGGTGTGAAAATAGTATGCGTTTTAGGACAAGAAGTGTATTTTCAAGAATTATTGGAGAACTTTTAACAGGCGCTGGAAAATAACTTTAATATAACCATGTTGAAGAATATATAAAAAATTAATGAATATCTTTTAAGATAATTTAAACATTCGATGATCCTGCAGCTGTAATTGCACTAGTAAATTGCTAGAAAACCTGTAAAGTAAAAATTTAAACTCCTTCACAATTTCCAAGAGAATATACTATATTAGAAATCCATTTTTTCAATCAAGTATTTGAACTGGTACATGTCGCACTATTACATCTACCATTTTCATTACTAAGGCCTTACTCACATTGCGATGAGAAATTGCTTGCTCAAGGAGTTCCACAACATCTTGTCCAATGACGCCCTCGCAATCAAACCCTTTTGTCCACCGGACCAACAGACCCTTTGTCAACCCTTTCTGAACACAGGGGAAGCTGAAGGTGAAGCCAAGAGGAAGGCATTCATGTTCAATGTGATGCTCTTTCATGAAAGCGCCCAGACAGTCTGCAATGTGGTCAAAAAGCTGGAAAAGAACATTTTGTATTGTATTACTGAAGAATTAATGAAACTAAGCAAAGGAATAAGAATTATATTTTGAACATACCTGTTTACCATGGCCAACCATTATATGTTGAGGAATTGCAAAAATTTTTGACTTCATATCAAAGTGCATGTTTTCACCCAATTCTATCAGAAGAACTCTGAAGTTTGTTCCACCTAAATCCAGAGCCATGAACTTGCCTCTTTCTGGAAAAGAAAAAATAAAATTAAATTATTTTGACTAATTAAAATGTTGAAGTTAGCTCAGTTAACATTTATTTGTAAATAATAAATTAAATTCATTAAATAAAGAATGCACACATTCTGAGGAAAATTCATAATGATCTCCATGAAATGTATTTAATTTTTGTATTATTGTTTGAATAATATGTAATATACTTTCATATTCAAAGCAAAAATAAATTATTTTGAGGCACAATTTGTCCATTTTTTTCACATTTGATTACTTTCTTTTTGTTAACAAGGAAGAGCATCTTGAGGCTTCAAAAGTCAGTGGTACACAAAATTAAGTTTGAGCAGACACAAAAAGAATGTGGGATGACCATGTTGTCCCTGTCAAGTACTCATATGCAAACCAATGTGCACGTACGCTCACTGTTGCATACACTTGTTAGCACTCAATATCTCCCACATTATGTAATAGAAAGTGGCATTTACCCTACCGTGGAGGACATACAACGTTAGCTTTTCTTTCATTATTGTTACATGAACAATGGACGTATATCCACCAAATTTGCTTGTTCTTTGTTGAAACATTAACTGATGCTAAAACGTTTATGAACTACCAAGGCGTTTGCTGCGTACACTTTCTCTAAGTTTGTTCACCCGTTGCACCTTTGCTCATCCGTGCACTTGGGACCTCTATCTGCGTAGCCAGGGATAGATCTATCATTTTGAAGGGGTCATCATAGATTTTTGTCCAATAAATGTTTTATTATATTGTATATATTATTTTTGTTAGGTATGTATGATACTATAATATTGCTTTTTTTAATTGCATTATTCTAACTATTAAATATTTAAATAAATTTTGCCAAATAAAAAAAAGTTTAAAATGAAAACTTTAGGCCTTGGGAAGGGGGCATGGCCCCCTAAGACCCCCCTCCCCCTTGGATCCGCCATTGCACAAAGCTCGCTGCGTGTGCGAAAACGTTCCCAAGCTCATTCGCTTGTTCTTAGGGTTAGATCTGTGACCCCTGACCCCACGCAAGTCTTAGAGATGTTGACTTTCAAGGGGCTATACGCTCTTGAAGGCCCCGCTCCCGAATAGCCAAGGAATCCCCCCCAACTATAGCTAATGACTTAACTGAATAACAATCTCAAACCTTTTAACGAAAAAGCTGAACGGTGCTCCAAATTGACGCGACGAAATCTTCATTATAATTATCGAAAATATTGCACCCCGTAGTATTGTTTGTGAGAGAAATAAATTCAGTTCAGTGGAAATTTCATCGCATTTAATGCAGTTCACTGAAACAATGTCAACTCAACGACCATAGCCACCTAACTGCGAACTGCAGTAACCAAATTTCAGTTAACTGACATCAGGAAACATGCAGTGCAGTGACGGCAGCTTCTTAAGGGCTCTACGGCGTCACCCTCCTCAGAAAAACCATAGTCGGGGGAAAAAGAGGAGAAAGTGTTAAACGTGCAAAAAATCAACTAGTTTAATTTGTGCATACCACCAGCGCAATTTTTGACGATAAATTTATATTTATGTGCCCGCTTAAGAATCCGCGCTCTCAACAAAGTTAAGAATACCGACTCTTTCATCTGATTTCATAAATTACTAGTTCGTTTGCTGGAAATACAAGTATTTAAAAAATCTATTTTAGCGTGAGCACAGTTGTAAGTTCCATTATCAAATTGAAAGTTTTCTTAGGCAAGGATTAAATCGGTTGTACTCTACATGCCCTAGTGATCCTCATTCAATAAATATTTTGAAGAGGTAAAAAGTAGCATGTGATACACATTTTCGGACATACACGACGCCCCCTCCTAATTCGCAACCCACCACTGATGCACTGGGAAGAAACATTTTCCAAGAGCCTTCGCGAGTTCACCGATTGCTCGAGCCAATGTGTCGGAAAGTTCCACTTCAGTGCCTTACGTGAAAGTACTACCTACTTCTGTAAAAACTGTGCGTTTGCTCAAACCCGGTCCAGACTGCGAACAGGCGTCAGCCTTGCATAACTCGTCATAATCGCGCTGTTAAGTAGACTACGTAAATGGTCATAAATTATTCAGCAGGCATTTACACGAGTGAACTGTGTATTGTATTCCGCGTATGCCATTATACGAAGCAGCCTATTACCATTATTTCATTTCAAAATATTCATTTTCTATACGCTCAATGTTATTTACATTTCAGAAAGCAAAATTTAGTAAGTGGCACTAGTTGTTTATGGCGAGTTCAATGCACTTTTATTCATTACAAACTTAAAGTGAAGGACTGATATGTTGCCATTTTGTAAGAACGAAAAATCCGTTGTATTCACGACGCGTAATTCGTAATTTAGGGTTTGGGTCGTATTCTGATGTTGCACATCCCTATTGCGAACAGTATTTGGCATATACAAGTGCAGCCTAAAACAAGAGAGAAGCCAATAATTTTTCTGGGCTGCAAAAGTCAACCTTATCCATTCTTGTTTTTATGTTCATATACACAATATTTTACGTGTACGTTTTTTACGCATTTTCTGTGAGGGGGTTTGAGTCTAAAGTAGTTATCTTTCAAGGGGACATTTGAAAGAATTTTCACGTTTTGCCCTCAGAAAGTTCGATTACTTTGCAATTTTGAGCACTTTTACACTATTTTTTTAAATTAAAAATTCACAAGCAAAAGATTTTGTAATTGAATTATTTATTTAAATAGAGTCGATGAGTTAATGACTGCAGCACAATAAGATGGACTTTTACAACCAAATAAAACTTCGAAATTCTCGAATTGTGTAATATAATACTTATTCAAACATACACACGGTAACAATACACTGTAAAACTAATACGCCCTTGGGTTTGCCCTCACTATTAAGTTTAAAACATTATGTGCATATATGTATACATTCATCGATCGTTTTTCATCGGAGATTTTCAAATTTTACGGAAATACATTTTATTATGTAAAGCTGCAGGGTCCCTTTCAGAATTTTCAGGGGGCAAACCCCCCTCCCCCCTCCTCGCCGACCCTCCATTATTTATGAAGTTTACAACTATTCACTTTTATATACCATATCTTCAATACCTTCGTACCTTTTCATCCTACGCCAGTGTTGTGTCTTTCGGTTCATTTGGAAATCACTAGATCGCCAAGGGATGTAATCGAAAAAAAGAGTACTTTGTCTCTTTTCGTTTAAGGCTTTGAATCAATTTTCCTCTACCAACGGGAATATTCAAATAGCCTCCTGAGACCGAAATTGGACCGCTTTGGTCAGAACGAAAATAAAATTGATAAGGATCAATATTTTCGGCTGCAGCGAACAAGCTCCCACCCTTTGAGCCAGTGCCGGGCCCACAACCCCGACCACGCCCCCGTTCTTCGCCCTGCTCTGCATCTCTCCTGGTTCTGACTGATTGGTTGGTAGTGATTCCCAGAGCGTCAACGACCGAGGTCATTAGTCCTGTAAGTGCAGTGAGAGTTTTTCCCTTCGGGTGATCCTATCCCACTGGAGGGAGAGATCCGGCACCGACCTAAGGTCGGCCTGCAGGGTTTCCCTCAACCAGGTATCTTTCACTAGCAGGGCACTGCCCCTATCGAGTCATGCTGTAAGTACTCGACCGGTCTCCCGGCATGTGTAGAAGTGTAGTGCATGTTAGTGTAAGTGTGGGTAAAGGTGAAGATAGGGCAAGGCAGAAGAAGGAAAGATCGCGCACGGCCCGTGGCCCGCTTGTTAGGGTACTGCTCCGGCATTCGCTTGGTGTTGATCGGAGAAACCACGGAAAAAAACTACCGATCCGAGTAGCCGGCCGCTAGAATTCTCCTTCAGACAGTAACTGAATTCGACCTAGCTGACCCGGTCCCGACCCAGTTCGAGGGCTCGGGGCGAGGCGGGGCGAGGCGAGGCGGGGCGAGGCGGGGCGGGGCGGGGCGAAGCGGGGGGCGAGGCGGGGCGAGGCGGGCGAGGCGGAGGCGGGGCGAGGGGGGCGGAGGCGTCTCGCGTGCGGCTTGCGCGATCGGGTGGTCGACCCCGCGGCCTCGCCAATCAAGCGCAGCCAGTCGCCGACACACTTGCACACATGCCCCGCGCGGGCGCCGCTGCGCCATCCCAAATATCCATCAGCGGTGCAAGGCCTTTCAGCGCAACTCCATTGTATCAATTTAAATCCGCAATACACGATTGAAATACAGTAGAACCCTGATAATCCGAACTCCGCAAATCAGAATTTCGGATAATCCGAACAAAATTGGGCATAGAGAAAAAAAATGCATTCCTCTGGAGTGGCCAGAGGTGTGTGCACAAAGGGGGGGGATAGGGGAGCAGTCGCGTCTGAAAATTTTGAAAGGGTCTGATTGCCTTACATGTTTACATAGTTTTATTTTTTAATTTATTTATTTAATTCATTTTTTTGCAAAAATTAAAAAAAAATAAGTGCCGAAAATTACAAAATGATTAACAATTGCAAAGCTCTTAAGTATACGAGAACGGTTCGGCGAAGTCTGTTTTCGAAAATTGCAAACAATCAAAAACATTGCGAAAGTACAATATCGACGATAAGAGTTGTTTGCTAAACAAAATCCGTTCTTTAAAAAAAGGCCGATGTATATTTTTTTTAAAAAATAGGAGTAGTTTAGCGTAATTTTGTTTTTTATTAGTTGTAAATGTGAAATTCCTGCGCTCCATTTACAAGTTCTTCAGTCTAGAGTTTTATAAGGTTTAATTAAACCGCATGTAATCCCGTCTTTGCTAGGTATGCTTTTAGAATTCAGTTTGAAGGAAAATGTATAACTCTCTATCAGACTGTTTTTTCAAACATAATATTCATCTGTATTAATTTAGAAACAAACTATTTATGGAATACTTAGAATAATGTTCTTCCAACTACTCGCAACTAAAGTTCAAGATGGGAACATTCGAATTACGTCTGAATTATATCTGGATTGAGTACCTAATTGGAAGTTCAAATACATTGAAGGGCAATCCCATTTAAGCGATACGGTTAATTTCAACTGAGCATGAAATCAATGCGGCGGCGGCGGCGGCGGCGGCGGCGGCGCGGCTCAACGGAGAACAGCAATGTGGAGCGCTCGGCAGAGAGCGACATCGCAAAACGCCCCCCTCCCTGGCCATCGTCGCGGAGCCGATAAGATAGGCGGCGGCGGCGGCGTTCCTTGGCTCGCCTTGCGTTGCCTCGCCGCACGTCGCCTCGCGGCTCCGTCCGTGTAGGTCGCGCCCGGCCCTGCCCGTCCCAGCCCAGCCCAGCCCAGCGCCGCTCCGCCCCACCGAGCCACGCCACGCCACGCCACGCCACGCCACGCCCTTGTCTCGTCTACCCCGCCTCCCCGCCCTGCCTCACTTCGTACCGCACCGCCCCGGCCCCGTTCCGCCTGCCCGACCAGACTGTACCGTTAGCTGATCCGCAATACCTAGATGTATTGCGGATTGTATTTCACCGAATTGTGAGTTGGGGGGGGGGGTCAAAAATATTTCAAGAGGGGATTTCGAGATGAAAAGGATCATGTTGAACTATTCCCATCAAATGTGTAACAGAAAAGCACATAACATTATCATTTCTAAGAAGGATGAGGCTAAGAGGCGCTGCATTTTACTAATACCCCTTAACTGATATAAAATAATAAAATTTAAATACTTAAATACCAGCCGAACTGGAAATACGTTTTGAAGACACCAGAAATTAGAAGGTCCCAAGACCCATCTAATTCCTATCTCGTCTCTGGCTCTTACATTATTTCCTAGGCAGAAAAAAACCCTTTCCAGCACTACGCGTACTTCCCAGAGACCACCAAGAAAATTTTTGGACAGAGGTGAGGGCGAATGTCCACCCGATTGCTCGTGAATACGAATACTGTCTTTATTATCATAATGCACTCGTTATCAGAGCCTTGTAGTTATCGTGTACTACAATGAAGCCGCAGTAACCCTATTTATGTACTATGATAATTTAGAAAGTTCATTAACATAGTGAAGCCGTGTAGATAAATAACAGTTGGCAGCTACCGCACACCATATCCAATAGTCCTATTCCATTCCCGCTTCCCGTTTGGCTTCCCGTTTAACTTCTGAGCAAGAGATCTCTTCTGAAATGAGCCCACCCCCATACCCATTCCCACCCAGCCGACCTCTCCAGTCGCAGATAAGCAACGAAGCATCTATGGCTAAGGCCTATTTTGCAACGGGTCGTGCGAGGCAGCCGAAGAACAGAATTCAAAGCGTTTAGAATACCCCTCCTTCTCATCCCCACCACCCCATCCCACTTAGCTTTACCATTATCTCAGCAAACGAAACAAAATAAACGAGATTTTAATATACAAGTTATGAAAATGAATGAATATGAATGGATAGAATCCAGGAGAGACCCGTGAAGTAGCCCCCTTCCACTGCTGGGACCTGGGTTCCCGTCATTGTGGGATTTGAGGTGGACGACGCGAGCTTAGTTTTCCCTGGAGAGAAAGGCCTTCTCGGGTCTCCCCGTTCTCCTTCGCCTCTTCACTATCCTACGATCTTTTATCGACTTCCGCTTCGCAAATTCAACTGGTGCATTACAGGGCAGTACGTAAAGCTGGTTTTACACTTGCAAAATAATATTGCTTGCCATTTTCTTGGCAATACTTCTTCCTAGATATTCCTGTCGTAATGCACACTCTTGTGTTTCCATCCAGGGAAAGATATTACCGGTTGTTGCTGGGACTAGAGTTCGACAGATGTCTGAGCAAGATATTGCTGGAAGAAGCAAATTAGAACTACGATCACATGCGCAGAAAGTACGGTTAAGGTAGAACATAGACGTAATATTTGCATCGTAATATGTATTTTTTCGTAAAATGGTTGTGTGAGAAAGGTTTACTACAATATAAGTAGTAATAAATAATCCCTCTACGGTTGATTATCAAAGGTTAAAATTTGGTCCCAGCTATAGATGCCCCCTGATTATTACTTTTTTTACGTTAAAAATTACTCAGATATTAATCTAATCTAAATCAATTTTAAGATTACTCTATAATACATCAGTAGTAGGAAATGGATATTTTAAAACTTTTTACCGAATTAGTAAATGCACTTTTTATTAAAAGGAAATTGCTTTGCTCTCACGACAATCGAAATCCACGAAATCATTTGGTTTTATGAAAAATATTGAGACACTTCTAACAAATTCGCACATGCACCCTTTTCCTTTCTACTTAAAATTCAGTCTCACGTCCTTACAAATCTTCGGCGTTACTTCATCTCCTCATTTAGCACAATAAGTGTGACAAACTCGCATCTTCTGCCTTCCACTAGTTATGTCGGGAAGTGAGGTATAACCTCACTTAATTTCATGCGCCATATTCCTCGCGTCGTCACCAAACACGGCAACACATAGTTTTAATGTAAAGCTATCGGCAATGTCTTGCCGGAAATATCTTTCTCAGATCTTTATGACAATATATTGCCCCTCCTTGTTCTTGCTAGTGTAAAGATGACCGCAAGAAGCAGAAACATATCTGAAAGATATTGCGGAAAAGTATTGCTAATGTAAGACCAGCATAAGATGATGTTGGAATCGGAATATAGAAGTGGCATTGTGATAGTGGTCGTTTGTGAGCGGAATTATTCTGATGTATACCTAATAAAGAAAAAGACAAACTAATGCTGATAAACAAAATCCCTGCTGCGAAACTAATGTTGATTTGAATTTTTAATTAACTAATGATAAATTATAAAGCAAATTTATTCCAAAATAATCCCAACAACTAAAAAAAAATCTATGGTTTTGTCATCTGAGACACACATTAGAAATTAAAATTGTTTCTGCAGGTGTATTAGCAGAATTAACTAATTATCGCTTCTGTTTGATCAATTCGACAACCAATTCAAAAAGTCATGTAAGTATTACAGTTCATTACATGCATCTAATTGGTTTTAGAAATTTTTATCACGGGATCCTGTGACAGAATTATCCTTCGACTATTATCGCGGGCATACGATTATCATTTACGTTTTATCACCAGGTGAGCACTTGTTTCCTGCGTAGAACTGTCACATGCAGCAGATAAGAGACAATACTCTGCAATTCTTAAAATTTTTCGAATCGCTCATGTCAGATTGAATGGCGGCTGTTACAAAGTGTACAAGCATCATCAGATAAACATGGATCCCGTTATATTCTACCACATATCAATAAAACTACACAGCATACACAGAGCCGTGGTTTATAGAAATGCGAACAGCTCCTCGAACGTAAATGAGGAGAAACAAAATTCTCCATTTTCCGAACAACCGTTTACTCTGAGCTTTCTAAGTTTTCGAATTCGCTCACAGACAGTGAAGACCTCTCGGATATAATTTCGCAAAGTTAGACATAAAACAGCCCCCCTCCTCCTTCAACCGTCACTATCACGTATCCTCAAATGTAGATGTATGCGATTCATTTTCCTATAGAGTAGCAAGTAAAAAACGAGCAATGAATTTGATAAAAACAATAAAGAAGTGAACAGTTAGTTTTGTAGTGTAAAGAAGAACTGTGCAGAGGTCTGGTGCAACATCGTGGCCATGTTTTAAAAACATCTTTTTTATAAAATCGATGTATTTAACATCGATTTTTCAAATAGTTTTTTTTAATATCCAATGTTTTGTGTTCGACGATTTCATATCAATATTTTTTAAATGAAATTTATTCATCAGAAAATATAATAATTTTATAATATTTTCATGTATCCATAAATTTAATATTCTTCCAACCAACCAAAAGGTGAAAAATAAATAAACTAGTTTCCCACAATAAAGAAATGTATATTATTTTGAATTACCAAATCAGATCCAAATTTCTTTAATTGACCTGCTGGCTTTAAGACTAAGTTTTTTTAGTTAAAGCACAATTAAGTATTAATAAACTCTACCACTTTCAAATTAAATTCCCCCGCGTAAACTTCAAAGCTTACTATTCCAATTTTAGTTTAATAACATCGATTGTTTTCGATCGAGGTTTTAATTTTTGGCATCGATGTTTACAATCGTCGAGTTCTGTTGGCGATTTCGGATCTTTAGTGGAGAACGTAAGGGAAACCGGGGTGGGAGGGGGATGTCTCACCTGTGCCGTTGGGCAAGTCCTGCACGTAGGTGACGAAGCACTTGACGATGGACGCGGCGTGGGTGTCTCGGGCCAGGCCGCGCTCGATGTTGTCCAGGAGGCGCTTCATGATCTCCCGCAGCTGCTCGTCCGACAGCTGCAGCTCCTCGCAGCGCTCCCGGATCTGCAACAGAACGACACGCACACGCCCCCTTTAGCCTCTGTCCTCTCTCTCTTTCTGAACGCGCGCCACAACTGCATCGGTGCGCATTCATCCCACTGGGCCCCCGCAGAGGGATGGCAACAATGAGTGTGGTCTTGGTGGAGGATCGGAAACGCTCCAACCCTGCACGGCTTCCCGTTTGCTCGACGGAACCCACGTCGGAAGAGCCGAAGGGGATATAGCGGGGAGGCGTGCTGAGTTCGTCTCAGCGTCTTCCATTCCAGGAAATTAAATATGGCTTCGTCCACGCCCGGAGTGATTACTGTATCTTTTCATTCGACCACCGTCGTAACTGATAGCTTTTCGCCGTGAAAGCAGCAACCAAGCTTATCTCAGTAGATTGCGACCTAGGGGTAATGTCAAATGAGTCTGAGAACCGGCAGAACCGAAAGCTTGAGAATATCGGTTAAGAATGCTCGGTGTCCATCTCGGGAGCCTCGAGAATCTGATAGAGCATGATCGATCCGCACCAGTCCAAGTAAGTCAATTCCGAAATAGTACCTTGCTTTGTTTTGCAGCTTCTCTCTCTCCAACCTACCAAACGTCACCCGTTATCTGCCGTTATTAACGTTAAATGGATGCACAATTAATAAACATGGAGCCCTTGAGCCGTCGTAGTCGACCGAACCTCCAGCATTGTGCATAACCATGCCTGGCTGCGTTTTTATTAAGAACAAATGTACGAAATAGCTCGCACAAATTCTACATGCGCAGTCTATGACAATCATTGTGGTAACTGGATGACGATGAAAATAATACGCTAAGGTTGGAAGAGGCAAGGTTGGTGATATCATGCTGTACAGGGTACTTACACTATATGGTATGTTACAAATAGTTGGATATGTACATTGTAATCCTCATATATACCCCCACAACAAGATCGAAGTTGAGCCGTATTGTATGCGTGTAAGTTGACGCAAGAGCTTGTAAAAAGCTATTTAAAATCGTTCAGAACAACACTAGGAGAAGTGTTTAAAAATTATGAAATAATGTTGAGGTTGGTAAAAAAAGCAAGTAGTCTTATTTTTTAATCGACGAAATTATGAATAATTATAATGCGTATTGTGAGACCCTCTCATTCCACGAGGAAATGCAGTGGCAGCGTAGCGGAATCCAGAGAATCGATTTCGCCACCGACTTCGAGGCAGATATATACCGATTCGTCGAGTGGCGTCGAGGCACTCTAGCGTCTAGAGACTTTCTGCCCAGGCATTAAACTGACAGGGATGGGGCACTTATAGGCAAAGCAGAAAATCTTAATAAAATGGATAATTTCAAAAATATATAGATTTTTGAAATTAAAAATTACATACCTAGGCAACAAGTCACAGAATATAATTTAAAATTAAATAATATTAAATTAATAAATTTATATAATTACAAAATTAAATAATGTACATTCTATCAGCTATATGAAATATCTCGTATTTTATTGCGTTGGGTAAATTATTCAGTGTATTAGTTACACCAATTTTCTATCTGCTCGAGAAAGTGAAGAATGCCACTCTACATTCCCCTCATGAGATGTACGTGACCTACGAATTCTATCAATACTGTAACGATATTCTGATCAATCACTTTTACGAACGGCTCCGAACTAAAAATCGTTTCACGAAAATCGAAAAAACTTACTGAAAAAATTGAAAAACGTTTGAGAATCTTAAGCCTTTCTTGGACTCGATGGCTTCTTAAACTATTCCTCTCCGGTGTTGTCAGCTGGTATCACAGAAAATTTAACTTACGTTGTATTCGACCATCAAAAGATCTTGTTAATCTAAAACATTGCTCATCAGTGTAATTTTCTTAAATTATTGAGAAATTAGATAATTTAAGTTCAGACAGTTGAATCGTTTGTTTTTATTTCACAAAATTCTTCACACAACGGTCGTGGGCTCTGGGTTCAGCGAGACCCTCGTTCGCGCATTCAGTTCCGATTGGCATGAGACGGGGAGGGGGTCACCTTTTGCTGCTTCTGCTAGCGGCCACGTGGCGAGGCGGCGCGGAGGTCGCGCCCGCCTCCTCCTCCTCCCACACACCTGCACGACACGGCCCTCCCCGCCACGCGAATGCGAAAGCAAGGCCACCTGCAGCGGCTTTGCAAACACTAACACAACCGACAGAACTACGTCAGAAGACCAACAGAGTGCATGGAGTTCGGTGAAATAAGTTTGCACAATACGTTTGCAAAAAACATTTGTGTACTAGTTGTATTTTATGTCGATGTTCTATGTGTTTATAAATGTTTATCAGAAACGAAAAATAATGTGACCGTAAGATTGTAACAATACTAATGATGTTTTTATTTGTAGCACCAAGAATTTTGAGCTTGAGTTTCAGGAACGTGTTTACAAAATTTTCCAAGAAAACGTGGCGACGTCTCTGAGTCACTCAGCTAATGAATCATTTTCAGAAGTAGATCCAATTACACTGATACTCGCAATGACAATCAAATGAGATTACCCTAAAACACTTTACGTGCTTAACCCCTCCCTCCACATGTTTTTCGATAATTCATTATAAAAGTAGGTTTAATTATCGCTAATCTGATGAATCAAGTCTTAACGATTTGTATTTAAGTTCTGGAAAAAAGAGTACCACGTCAATTTACAGCGTTTCACTGTGTTCTTGTAGGTGCATTAAAACCGTCAAGTACTAGTGTTTTTCTAGAATTCTTTCAGAGCATCCTACAGGAAAGCAGCTAAGAATTGTAACAATTGATTAGTGGAAGGAAGGAATAAAATTAGCTATTTATCACCACTGTAAGTGTCATACGATGCTCGAAAAAAATTCTTAAATGTGTTTTAATTGCTTAAAAAACAAAGTTTTTGAGAAATCTCTTAGAATCTACATGGATTTGCAGAAAATATATAAATCCCCGTCAGGCGTACGAGAAGCCTCGATTCTTTTGTCATTTGTCTCTATTAGTGGACCAGAAGTGGTCTAACCATGCGTAACGGACGGACGGAAGCAGTTATTACTGCATAGGATTAGACACTGCTGATAGCATCCTTCGAAAGTATAGTTCAACGATTTTGATTTTCAGATACAATTTGGCAAATTACTTTCTTTAAGTAATTAAATAATTAAATACGTTCTTCGGTACCATATATATTTGAGCTAAAGATATTTTAGATCGCATAGCAATCATCCTCAAATCTTGCAGCGTCCGGGCGGGAAACAAAGTTATCTATTATTAATCTTCGAGTAACATTATTACGTGAATTTGATTCATATATATCAACTTATATATAGTACGATAAATATAAACTGAACATTCAATTCTCTGATTCAGTAGCCAACATTATTGAATATACTATCTCGTTTGCAACATTCCTTTTTCAATTGAACCAGCATGAAGGGAAGGGACCAAATCAAAAACGCAATTTTGTTCCTTACGTTGGAAAGTTTTACTTTAAGACAAGGCAAATTATACTGCGAACAAAGTAATAACTTCATTACAGTGTTTAGACTATCTTGGTGAATCCACACCAAAAAAAATGGACAGGATAATATAACCTGTGTGAGTATTATTTAATGTTTCCTTCCTCCTGAAAAGTGGCAACAAATGACTTCTAATTACCCCTCAGCCCAATTCAGTTATTTTTCAATCTAATTTACGGCAGTAAACCACGTATTACAAAAATATAACAAATTCAGGGAGAGATAACTAGAGAAGTGTTGTTCTATCCTTCGTATCCAACGCAGGCCCATGCACGCCGTTCGCGATTTCGAGAGCATCAGCGTTTCCGCCCGCGCGATCGAAAGCGCCGGCGCGCAGGGCGTTTCTCAAACGGTTTTCCCGGAGACTTTCGCCGACCGAAATATTTACTTTGGAAGACACGTAAACATGTGTTCGCGTCCCATACGAATAAACGAAAACAACAAGTTTCGTAAGAAACGCGCTCTTGACAACCTTTGGATCTCTCTTAATTTAAAAAAAATAAATTATGGTATCTCACAATACATCGCGTCTTGCCACTCCCAATAAAAAAAGGCTAGAAAAGACAATAGACTGCTCTCTTGAGTAGTAAGAAGAAAAAAATTCTCGTCCATTCTGAGCTTCGGAGGATTTTCAAATTACATAGATCTCAGAAAGAGGCATTGAATCAAAGTTTTATCGAAGATCTGTTTCTACAATTTTTATTATCAAATATGAAATGTGGATATAAATTATCAACCACTAAGCATTTTCCTGTTAGTGATAATAGAGTATACAAATCAAAAATAATTTAAACGGGTAAAATAATTCAGATGTAATCGAATAAAATATTAATGATCGTTCTTTTCTAAACTCATTCGAAATCAGTCCCCATGAATGACAATCTGTCTGGAGAGCTTTGAATTGCATCAGTCTGACGAAATGCAAGTAGTGTCCACGCCACAGAGCACACAAAGTAGGAAGTAAAGGTGGGCATCTATTATGCTTTCATTTCTCTGCATTTCTCATTAAAACGTCCATAAAAAAATATCATTAAATTACCTACAAATTAATGTTAATCTAGAGGGCTGCAGCCTCCAAATCTCCATTCAGGGTTGCTACAATTTTTGTCAAATGATATTCCATGCCATTTCCAGGTCTCTCACAACAATATAGAATTTTTCTCTGACAAAACGTTGAAACAATTTGCATCGCATTCACATAGAATGCATGGCGAGAGAGGAGTTCTTACGCCTGAATAAGTGAATAGCGATTCCTGGCACTATTGTGTTATATTGCATACATAGGTTGTATTTTTGCAATATCTGACAAGACGTCGAAATAATTTGTATTGTATTCAAATAAAGTACTGACACGTATGCATTTACACCAATTTACGCTACAAACAAGCACACTTCCAGGATCTGTTTTTAATTTAAAAACTGTCGGCGGTTATGGATGCTTTTTAAGGAAGAAATATCACATTCTGGGTTTTCTGACGAGGAGGAAGAGGTTCTTTGACCTGAATAAGTAATAGCGATTCCTGACACTATTGTGTTAAAATTATACATATGGTAGTATTTGTGCAATACCAAAAGCACAACCCTGATACAATAAATAGTGGAAAATGTGTTCATATCTTGGTAGACGAGACACATCATTATTAATGTGTTCAATTATAAACGTATGGAAAAAATTATCTGATTCTTCCGGAATGTGGTAACCGAATCGTGAGCGTGCGTGGGTGCGTATGCGTGTGAGTGGCTGTGTCCGTGAGGGGGCAGACCATTTTCAGTTCGGATCAACCCCTATCACCTCTAGGAGGAAGGCTCTCGCAGGTTTTAAATCCGTCGCCGCTACTACTTTCTTCATTAGTTCCCCAATGGATCGGCGTGGGACATGCTTATCTTGTAGTCTCTCTCGCAAGTGGGTGTGCATCTTCCGTTCAACTGGCGCTACTCGTCCGGTGTTGCGCCCCTCACCCCATCCCCTTGGGGGAGGAGGTTACTACCGCGTCGAGCGCGCGTGCACAGCGGAGGCCTTCACATGTTGACAGAGCCATCGCGCACGCCCCAGAAATAGAGATGGACAATTTGATCGAGATTAGAACAAGCCATTATTTCATACCATTAATTGAAATGTATTATTTTTATATCAATTAATGTACACGTCAATTAGTTCTTCCGATTTTTAGCTCTATTATATTTTAAATATTAATTTTCAAGATGAGTAAAATATTAAAGTGCATCTCTATTTTTCGAACTTCAGCAACGGAATTCCTAGACGGTTTATCACTCTCTCCAGTTGCAAAAAAATAAAAAATAAAAAAAAAATTACAGAAATATACGCGATTAATTTCATACCAGTAAAACTAATAAAATGAAAATTCCCTATGTTTGATGTAATATTTTTGTGATGGTAATATATTCAGTATGAAATAAAGACAAAATTACCAGTTTTCTTAGAAATTGTCTTCAACCAAGTACATTGTTAGATTACATTTTTTGGTGTTACTGTGTGTAGAAATTATAAATGAAAAATTAATCGGCTATATAATATTAATCTATTGATTCGAAACGATTAATATTTGCATATTAATCTAATAAAATCGATATGATATTAATCGATTATTTAATAATCGCCCATCCCTATCCACAATTCCTTGCAGTCACCACGCCTTTAGTCCTGGGGCAGTCCAGCTCCTTGCACTCTCGCCAACATCAGGTTTATCCGCGCACGTTTTCTTGAGGCCTCTTTGTTGGATACGAGAAGAGAGAGGGGAGGGGTATTTTGACGACAGGAATGTTTAAAGAAACCTGTATCTCGTTTTTCGATGCAAAATATTTTGTATTATACCGGAGCCCACATTTCTGGTTATCACGTTTGTTTTCAACTACGCTCGTCCTGTCATTGCTTCACAATTCAACTAACGTTGGCTAAAGAGTGGGGTTAAGTTTTTCGCAGTGCGCGTATGTCGCTAGACTCAACCACTTATTACGTCTATACATTAACAATAGCTATTTGTGAGCGTCGCCAAAGCATTTAAATAATTATCTGTAAATAGTTAAAACAGAAGTATAAGTAGTCGCTCTAGAAAAACAATGTTACTGTTAAATTAGTTTCTCGCATGATGTTCCATCTACATATGTTGGCAATACTAATATAGGTTAGGTTCACTTCGGCTCCCGTATCTCTCTTTTCTGCATTCATTGTTAGTCCACATCGTATGTATCCACGTCTGGATCAGAGATTTTACTTCCACGTAAAGTACGTTTGAGGGGTACTTCACCGCGACTGATCAAACGAAGTACTACTTCAACGCTGCAGCTGTCCAGTGGGTGGATTGTCAGCGTAGAACGGCACTTTCGTCCCCAATAAGAATGTCACTCAGTTTCATGGGAGCTCGTTGAATATGAATACGGAGGCAGTTTCAAAACTGTACAGCGCGGCACCAAGATATCACTTCATGACAGTAAAACATGCAGAATTCCGTCTTGATTTGACTTCCCCGACTTTTGTCCACGTCTCGAGGCGTTTGGAGCATCGTGGCGAGAGGACACGTCAAGGACGACTGCCGCCATTCGCGAGAGCCAACGCGGCGCTTGCGCTGGCCAACAGAACTTGCAAACCGAATCCTATCGGACATTCAAATGAAGCATGGGATATCGTCGTAATGGGAAGGAAATTCTAATCAACAGTTATATTTTTATCTTTAAAGTGGCATTTCGCAGGTCTCCTACGAAGTTCTTTGATTTTCCTTCTCCTGGCCTTTTTAGTTGTATTTTACGAAGGAAAGGAGGTTTAAGCATTTCTCCTGTTGAATTTCGATTTGGTAAGATAAGTTTCAACTTCGTTAGCTTTGGAGCACGCAACACTATCTCGTGTGATCAGCAAAATTTCACTCTTGGTGCAATAATATACTCTGTGCGGATCTCATTTTAAGTAAGCATAAAGACAACGCTCAACTCTAAACAGACACACACACATTCACTATTCACCTACCCCCTTGAGAGGTGCAATTGTTATTTTTAGATCAATATGCTTCTCTCTGACCGTTTGAGCAGCAGCGTGTACAATGCGAATCTTAGTCTGACGTAGGCTTTACCATGTGTTACTATATGTTAAGAAAATGTGCAAATTAGTGACGCTAACCTTTTGAAATGCCACGGAAGTCGTTTAGTAACTTCTCTTTAATCATATTTATCAAGTGTTCGATTTTGTTATTTGTCGCTGACAAAACTATCACTGCCTTTCATACATTGTATTTCTGGAGTGGAGAGGAGGGAACTTCGTATAAACGGTTGTCGCAATACTCTTCTTGCTATCACCTGTTCGAGTCATTCGCCAGATAACGCACTTGGTTGATGCACAATAAGAATGAGAATTCAGCACTCAACATACTTCCGCCGACATTTCTGATCTTCAGAAACTTTGGCCTAAAAAATTCAAACCAAATAGGTCACAGTGGATTCGAGACCAAGAAACGTGAAGGAGAATGTAAGTGCTCTACAATTTCATTTTTGGATTCCTTGGCTAGCATACTGCAGATGAAGCACCGTACACTGGTTACAGATTACTCCAAAACATAACAATTCTGAAAATGACGTGTCAGTACAAACAAAACTAACCCCATAGTGTCAGTAAGGCAAGCACATGCCGCTTACTCCCCCCCCCCCATCACGTGAATGTCATCGCGTGTTTCTCTGTATTAAAGTTTATTTACAAACCAAAACGATCTTCAGTGAGACAGCAATATTCCTTTGGGGGGAAATAGTCGGAATAAAATCTGTAGGTTTGTTGTGTTTGATAATATTACGACTGATTTATCTTTTCTTATTGCATTCGAACAACGCACACATAACTGCTACGTCAATATCCAATAGCACCACCAGTTCATCAAATTCTTTTCACATTTGCAAGGAACCTATTGTGTTTGGTGTACGTGAAGGAACATTTGAAGGCGCGTGCAGGGGCCCCATGCGGTGGACATTGGTAACTCTAGTATTATCCTCGCAAGTTTTCTTGGGAGCTCTCATTTAGCTGGACGCAAGAGAGTGGGGTGGTTGGTAATTTCTCAACATAACTATTACACCAATTCTGTAGCTAGTTGCACGACACAAAAAACAATTTCTATTGTACGGGAGCGAACATTTCTGGTTACCATATTTTGTTAACAACGCTCGTTGCTATCATTTATTCCAAAGACGGGCGAATTTTGGGAGGGGAAATCCAAAATGCTTTCGTAGAATGTATTAAAGATTTTATGAAATGTCGCAGGCTACACTCATATCATGCTGCGATACGATTTTAATCGTTTTAAAGATAATCCCAAAATATTTTTGTTGAAAGTCTTGTGAAAAATACAAATCAATAGTAGGTGAAACATTTTAGGGGGTGGGGCTCCCTCATTTCCCTCCCCGAGGTTGCGCGCCTGTTTATTCTCAATTCAACTAATATTAGTAAAGGAGTGGGGGGAAAGCGTTGCGGGGCTCAAGAAAACGTGCGCGTACAACACCGCGCCGCCGCGCCACCTGCGCGAGGAACGCGCACGAGGGGCTGGGACGGCGCGGCGCAACGCGGCGCTGAGTGGTGCGGAGCGGCGCAGCTCGGCGCGGCGCGGGTTTACGTAACGGGCGGTCGGCGAGCGCGCGCTGGCGCGACCGCGGCTGGCGCCTCGCAACCGGACGCCGCCACCGCAACGGCGGTGGTGGTGGCAGCGCTATCTCCCGCGCAACGCGGCGCGGCTGTTTCGCTGCCCGCCGGGCAAGAAGAGCGCGTCGCTCGCGTGGACGACGTGTGGCCTCCGTCTCCGAATAGACGACCGCCTTGCGGGAGCGGCGCGCGGCGGCGGCGCGGGTGCCAGAGAGCGATACAATACACGCGCGGAGCCTGTTCTGCCTGCTCACCCGCTGCTGCACTCACCACGTTGTTGACGTAGTTGCTCCTCATGCCCATGGCGCGGCGCCGGGGGACTGGCGCGTAGGCGTAGACGGTGTGGCGAATCGCGGGCGGGAAGCGGCGGGACACACAACAGCGGGCTGCACGGCCGACGTCGACAGGCTGTTGCGACGCGCGGAGGCTTCGGTGGCGAGTGCGGACGTACC